TGGCTTCCAGTTGCATCTGTAAAAGTTCATCCTCTTAATGCACCGTGTTATAGTTCATTGGAATTAAAGTTTTTCAACTCTCGGCACCAAATGAAATCTGAAACTCAGCCAACAGCACTCTCTTCAAAGTCGAGACCTTAAAACTGCGTCAGAAAAAAATCCTACCCGACTTTGCCCTCTCTATTCTTGGGAAACTCGACGAAATAAGTTCAACTTTAACGAAGATAAGCAAGATGACTTTACAAAGAAGCAAAATATGCGATTTGTTGTTGTTAACCGAAATTAAATGTGGGAGGCTGAAATCAGTTTCGTGTTGTTGTTTTTGCCAGTGCAAAACAAATTGTCGAGACATTTAGTGGAATGCTTTGTATGCATTACAGAAGGTTGAAAAAGTGTTGTCACTTGTAAAGGGCAACTTTATTTTTGTTTGTTTTCCAATTTCATCATCAATTTTTCTACCTCATAAAAAATCCGTTGACTAAGCTTCCAACAAACTTAACGTTAACCCACCCGCAGCAGCCATAAGACTTGCTTACATACACATTCTCATTTAAAAGTTCCGAGCATTTTTTGGCCTTGGGACAAATTCGTGTTGAGGTCAATCCCGTTTAATTTTTTTTTAATCACATGCCACATATCATGGCGCATATTTGAAGAGAGTGACGGCTTTAACGCGTCGACTTTCTCGGTGGCACGACACATGAATGCCGGAGTTTCATCAAGTCACGTACGTGTTTGTGTGATGTAATACGAACTGAGCCATATCCACACATTATGTATGATGGACGATTGTCCTCACCCACATGCAAGACGTGAGCCCTATATATTTATAAGTATATAGCTCAGAGTAAGTGGTTGGTGGGATAAGTTGGGTTGGATTAAGAAGGAACCATGGTCGTCCTCACGGTCTGGTTGCGGGTGGAGTGAGGTAGGATCGCATTTGTTTATGCCCGCAGACGGAGGACATTGCTTCCCCCCACACAAACCGGGAAGTTGTTAGTGAGAGTCCGGGTTATCGACCTATCGAGTCTGGTGGGTTGTGGTGGAATACCCCGGTTCCGAATCGGGCCTGTTACCAACCGATTGCAACTTTTCTATAAAATCCGGCCACCAAAAGTTGGGCGAATAAGAATTGGCGAAGCCACGCCACACGAACCAACGACTCATCTGCACATTCCTTCACTTTCACTCCGCACGTCTCAAAGCTCCCAAACTGCGGCTCCTACTGGACCAAGTATGTACGTGCCCTTCTTCCAGCAGCCTCATCTGAACTCAAACAATGTGCGAATGACGGGGAAATAAATCCAGTGTGTCATAAATCAGGTAGTATTAGATTTTATAGGGATTAGCAGTGCTACATACGTACATACGTCTCGTCTCCATTTGTTAATGTATGGTCGATTCATTCATGGGTTTTTATTACAATAGAATGCTTTCTCCTGGGAATGTATCGATAAATTTTAATCCTGATATGCTTTCTCCACCCAATTCTCTCCTCCTCTTCTTGGTCATACTTATTTTTGAAAGCCGGAAGAGCGATGCAGGAGAGCATAATGTGGGTCCGTTTGATTGCCAGGTTATGCTTGTTGGGTTCAATATGTAGTACAAACAAAGAGCAGACATGCACATGGATGGACGGATAGAGTGTTCTGGCCCCAAACTCAAAGCAAATAGATTACAAATTTATACCCATAAAGCATATTTAGCTTGCGCTGTACGGATATTCTCATAAATATTTCCAACTAATGCCGGATATATTTTGCATTGTCAATAATTCCTCAAGAACAAAGTCAAGAAAACGTTCCAACCACTTGGTACACATGCGGAATTTTGCCAGTTTGTGCATACATCTCCCAGATATGTTCACTTTGAACGCTGTTGACATATGTATTCTGACATTTCTTTACTTCCTCGATTCGATTGATGTTGGCATTATTGTTGATATTATTATTATTATGAATACCCGGAAGAAAGTTGAAAGTTCCAATTGAAACATTTCCATTATATTTGGTGTACTTGACGTTTATTCGCAAACCGAGTTTGTTTTTTGAGCCTCCATTGTTCACAGTTTCCAGGAAGGGTTCAACAGTTTCGGAAAGATGACGGGGATCCAGGCTGATATTTCCATGTTAATGGGAGTTGTTCACCCGTCATGAATAAAAAATCGTGTAACTGTCATACCTTTTGGATTGGTTATCTTGTGCATATCTAAAGAATATCTGCCCAAGTGGGAAATCCCGCATTGCAATATGCCAAACTTTTATTGCAAAGTTTAGTAGTTTACTAATCCTAAGTTTGCAAAGGTGCATGGTTGTGTCGATTTACGTACGTAGGAACATTGTATCGCATTCAGGAGTGCATTGCTCCACGATTGGCCCGACTTCTTGCAGAGCATAATGGTTCCTCTGTTGGCTTTCTCTTTGTGTCTGCATTTTTAGTTTACGCTGCAAATGTTACTGCTGTGACAGGACGTCAGCTTATTTTACGCTCTATTTCCGACTTCCAATAAACTGCATGTCCATCCATTCCCAAAAGTTATTGACTTTCTCCCGTCAAACTTTACAAGTTTGGAAATCACCCTCCCAGTCATACGTATATGTACATACATACGAAGTTAGCTGTCTTCCGGGGTCAATGTCGTCACACTTCTTGGAAATCGGACGTGGTGAGAGGCTCATTATTGCCACGTCGATATTATTTCATTACGTCAGTTGTTCGAGTGATGAATTTTATGTCAACTCTCTGACTACGGATAATTAAGGTATACACAGTCTAAGGTTCTTCCGGTCTTGAGTAGTAATGAAATATTTGAATTATGCACAATCAACTATTGTCTGATTATTGTAAATTGTGACGTTGACCGTCGTGGTGGCTACTTATAAACTGAAAATCAATACCCAACCAAGGAATTATTGAACTTATAAATACTTATTAAGACTGTAATCGAACTTGAGAAAGTGCATTCAGCTCATAACGAAACAATAAAGAGGCGACAACCTTGATTGTTTAATAATTTGGTCTTATCCCTGGAATTTGAGCTGAAGTTCGCAGTTGGAGCGTCTTGCGTGACTTCGCATTGTCATTACTCATAGCAAATAAAGGTAAACATAACGACGCAAAATACGCCGAAAAACGAACTGGACGACAATTTCTGATATTACAGTTGATAAACCACGTCCACAGGTTTAATGCTGAAGCCACTGATGATGTTTTATGCATGAAGATACATATTCATACACCGCGAAGAAAGAAGCGGACATCGACCACCACTAAATAGCACTTTCTCCGCTTTAATTGCCACAACCATTTCCACCAAAGGCTGCATGTTTGCATCGTACCCACAACAACTGGCGACTGGTATTTATGAAGAAAAGTGAATTTAGCTGTTTGAACATTTATTAGCATGTGCCCACTTTCTTTCGTGGTGAAGTTTCATTTACACATGTCCGCAATTCACTTCATAAGTCTGAACGTGTAATTAAATCGTGTACATGTTGGTTGGTACCCGTATATATGATGTAGCGTGAAGTAACTGGGAATAACCATTTCGACATTATTATTGATTATTTCCTTCATCAACTTATGCAATTTTTAAGGCATTATTGATTTTACTTTGCTCAGAGGAAAGGAGTAATCTCAAGAAAAGTGGCACACTTCCCAATTATATTATTTTCTGAAAAACTGCAACGGACAATAATTGGATCATTGGCCCGACACAGGAGGCGAGGCAATGACAAAAAACAGAAAGTCCTTTGCAAAATTAGTGGCAGGAGCAGTCTAGTGAAACTGCCAAATGTGTTGGTTGGCTGCAGTGTGTATGTATGTACAATTGTGCAATAATATACAAATCAAGGCGGAAGGGTTACACTTTTCTTAGATTGCGGGTTTATGACCAACTAAAAAGGTGCATGACAAACTCCGTCTAAAAGAATTAGTCAGAGTCTCAAATTCGTGCCTTGTTGTTCTTGGACAGACTTCTGACTCAAGTTTATACACATAAAAAGAGGAGGAGGAGGCGATACACCACGAAAGAAAGTTTGCTTTTGTTTGATTAATGACATTTCACTCACCCTACAAATAATTTTGCACGCAGAACCTGGGTTGCCAAATATTAATGATTTCGTTTCAAAGAGCGAATCTCCAACGCTGTCAACCCATTTTTTCATTGTGTGGTTTAATGCTTGGGATAAAATAAAAGGATAGATTAATCTTCCACATTTCTATGCACTGTTAAATCTATGATCAATTTACATCCAATAAACTGTGCCTTATGGTTAAGCATCCAATTAAAGTAGCAATTGTGTTTTGATCCTCAACTGACTAAATTGAATCCGTGATTGACAAATGGCCAAAAGTAAGTTTGGCAATAAAACGTATGTAGGAACACAGTCGTAAATGTTGAGTTCATTTATCGCTCATTTGAACGTCCTTTGACCCATGTACCCCTGTATTTTCATACGTATGTGCATGCATAAATACGCTATATGGGTTGCACATTTTGTAAAGAATGCCAGTTAGTTAGTTAACTACTACTCTATTCGATGGACAAAACGAGTCGTTTGTTATTGTTATTGAAAACACCATTGTGTATAAAAGTTTGCGACTGGTCTTATATTTTGCACATGGTTATTTACCAACGGGAAAGTAAAAAAAATGGTCGCACGTATATTCTTCGTATGACAAATCTACTCGTAGGTAAGGTTCATACCAACTCGCACAATATTTCGCAATCGGACGAAGCATAGACATAATACAAACCAGGCCGACTTCTGCTTCTGCTGCTGGTCTGATGATTACGGATTTTTTTTCTCTGTGAGCTTATTTAATGGGTTTAACTGAGGAATTGAAAAGACAGACGGATGGACCACACTACTTGTAAGTAGAACGACCAGGAAATGAGTTGGCTGATTCCATTTTTATTTATGTATGTATTTAAAATTTTATCCATTTCATTCTTCTCTGCGGGCCTGCTCATCCACATTTCCTTCCACGACCCACAAGATGAGAAAATGAAACACAGTTGCTGAAATGCAGACGAGTGGTTTAATTGAGGCCGTAAAAGGGAAATTGCGAAAAACTAGGGTGGGAGGTGCACAGTAGTAAGCAAGCAAAAGCTAGGAAATAGGTTTCATTTATTAAGGCAGAGATACAATAATAGCATCACAAAAGAACAGTTTATTCCTTTGTGTGCGATATTTCTGAATCCATAACAAAACGTTGGTCCAGAAGAAGGCATACGGAGGATAAAGAACTCTCGGCAGTTGCTCAATAATTGTTCCATCACTTTGTGCAATAAAACATTTACGGTTTCAAGGGTTATCATGTTGATAAGGATCTCTTATCTCCGGACTGGCGAGTTGGATAGGCCCTTTGCATGGGAGTTTGACCAACATTTTCTTTGGCGATAAACGTCGGTTGCCCAAACCGAGAAAAAAAAATCACTGAATAAAATCACCAGCTTGGCGAATGAGGAAGAAGAAACCTAGATTTAAAGGGTCACGGAGAGCGACAAAAATATGGTTAAAAGTTGAGCAGAGAAACAAATAATTTTTTTATATTACTTCAATTCCGTTGGCGACGTACGTATGTTGGCATGAATTGAGGATGGATGGAGGAAAGGTAAATGTTGTTTTGTTACGTATATTCGTAGATCCGATCTGTGATCAACCATTGCATATTTATGTTTGTTTAGTTGTATAACAAACAAGTTCTGTTCATTTGTTACTTTATTCCGTGCAATCAAACATAATCAAATTAATCTGAGAATTACAGTAAGATGAAAGATCACTTTGATCTCGCAGGTCTCACTCATCCTCAGCTTGAGCAATCAACATTTTGCCAGACTCGCTGCTTTACACGACGACGGGTGGCCCAGCCCAGCAAATAAAACAAAACAAATAGGGATGCGTCTCACATTGGATTGATTCAGCCGAGAAGAAGATACAATTCTTACACATGATAAATACAAATACATGCAAAGTAGATACACAATAATTTTTATGAACTGATTGATTGGCACCCCAACGCCTAGCTTTGTTTGAAGGTGATGAACTTCAAGTAACGGGTTAGAGACATGGAAAACTGAGAACAAATTATGACACCATAGACAAGAGTTGATACCCAACAACGCATTGTACCAGATACAATCGGAGGAGGAACGATCGAGTCATTTCGGAGCATTCGTACAATCGAAAATTGACTGGAAATCCGGTGCGTTTGGAAGAGTGGGTGGTAGTTAATTTTTTGTGGTGGTGGGTGAGTTAAATGGGATTACCTTCAGGAGAAGACAACAGTAAAGTGCGAAAAATACAGCACGGGAAGCAGCAAGCGGAGCAGCAAAAAATCGTACTTTTTTTTAACTGTATGCATACGGCTTTTACTACTCCCCGTCAATTTAATGGGTGGCGTCTTCTATTTGGTTTGACGTGGTACATTAGCACCAGAGTAAAAGTGCATTCATCTCCATCAAATTAAATCACATTAGCATAGCACACTTCCCACTATCAGATTGATTACATTTTACATTTATGAGCTTATGAGCGGTTGGACTACTCTTCTTCTTCGTCGTCTTCTCGCCCTCACTAATCCTAAATGCATCCCCATAAACCCAATATTATTGGCACTGAAATTTTAATGGCATGTTCTGTTTTGAAATTTTACTAGTAAATACATCTACCGTTTGAGACTTGGGAAAGTTAAACTGTTTAACGTTCAAACGTTTTTTAATAATGCATGTTGTGGAAATAAATTTAAATATGAACTGGTTCATAGTGACGGTAGTCGAACGACTGATTCATGATTTAAAAATTGTGTTGCAATAATATATGTCAAGCATAAAGTGTCAACAGTATATTCACGTCTTTATTTGCATATAGACGAGTAATACGGTAAGAAATGGTCTACTTACTGCTGCTGGATTTGCAAATTTTCGCTCTGGCTGAACCCTGTTATCGTCATCAGATCTAAATTGAATTGCCAAAAATGGCATCTTTCGGTCCCGTCTAAAACGCGGAAGCCGACGAGGTGTGAGCAAGAACTTTGACATGTTCTCATCAATAAACTGTCAATATGTCAAAATCATCCCACATTACGGAATATAACCATTTAACTTAACCATTCATTCACGGTCATTGTCCTGATTCGGTCGGTACTGATGGATGATCGTCGTGGGTTTGGTGTGAATTTTCAACGGGATTTCTCAAAAGTACTTCTGTCCACCAAAAATAATGGAATGATTTTACGATTATATAGACACCGGAAACCATAATCCATTCAGACGAGTTAACGCGACTCTCCCGCCCGCAATGACTCTGTTAAACAAACTATCTGTTCGCGGATTCAATAAATTATTCGCAATGCACTCAAGCCCCATTAAACCATCATGTGCCTCGTGAAATCAACGTCTATATTTAATGATGAGAATTTGAGGGCCAATAATCACAAGATTATGGCTCGAATAGGAAAAAAAGAACAAGTTGTGAATTATGAATGAAACGAGGGCATAATTTATCAGTAATTTGATTAGTATTATTATTCTCGGTTATGTGTGTTGGTTTAGTCAATCGACAGAGATGAGCATGTCCATTAGAGAGAGAGGGTGGTGGAATAATGGGTCTTTTACTGACTGCATTAATTCTTTAGTATTGTGTATTAGCTCTCTCTGTACATATGTTGATATTGGGTTACTTCCGACTTAGGTCATAGTCCCGACTTGCCAAACACATGAGCCACAAGCTGACCTGATTTCTCTCGTACGCACCAACTTATATTTTTTTGGAGCGCTAATAAAATCGATACGGAAAATAGTAATTACGTGGTTGACCACTTGCATGACCATTTCACTCACTCGGATAACTTTAAAGTTTGCATGGAGAAAACAAATTGCTTTTTTAATGCTCCCGCTTCGGATTGTGCTTTCAAAATACAACGCAGAAATTCCGAATATTACTCCTCGTCCGATTATCCTGTAGTCTGACAACTTTCGAAAACCTACATATATATTATTCAATAATTATGATTTTCTTCTATGGAATGAAGCCCCTGCTGCTGTGAACAGTTTATACGTTCATGAATTATTGAACAGAAGAAAGTAAACTAGACCATGGCGTAGGTTCAATATTTCCATAACTCGAATAATGTGCTTCCTGTCTAGATTTAGCTGTGAATATGAATCGGGAGATATCATATGTACACAAATACATACAAAATCGTTTGATGACACAGTAGTAAATAACTAGTTTGCTACGTAAATAATAAATATGAACTAATAGTTGGTGGTTCATAGGTAACAGGTTCAATGTTTTATTTTAGTACATGTTGAACGTTTTTTATGCACACATCGTATCTAGTGACAGTTTGGTGAATGTTTGCACACGCCAGGTTTTGTAATATATTTGCATTGCTGATATCATTGTATTTATATTATTGTGGTTTAGCAAATTTATATCTGAGAATGAAGCTAAATCACATCTTTAAGCATGACATCTCTTATTTTTGCCTGTTCACTTTATCCATGCGATATTGCTACATATTCGCAAACTTGAGAGATAATTGAGAGCTTATTTATGGCTAAATCAAAAGCAATGCACAGCTAAATTTCGAAAAATGGCTTCATGTTCTTCTTCTTTCTCAGCAGCAGTGACTCAGGTATTTAGATCGTGAGTCGTTTATTAAAAAAGGATGAGATTTCTTATTTGATGTACACAATTTTAAAACTATTTCTCACTGTTCGTTATGAATCCAAGATTTTGCTGAAACGCATAACACAATGAATATGTATCTACTTATTGAACGAGACTATGTACACGTTCTCCTGGCACTTGTAGAGTAGGAGTCATACCGAAACTTGCGACACGCCAGGTATAAGATAAATGAAACCACAAAAAAATATCAGCAGCATGCAGCAATTCCACTTTACTTAAAAGTGGACATCTTTTATCCTGATCTTGGCTCCATTGAGTGGCAAAGGTTTTAATTTGCACGAGTGGACACAGAACGAATGGGCAGGACACGGAAGTTTTGAAATGAGTTTATGCTTTAAACTCGACAGCTAATTCTGTCATGTCATTATTGTAAAAAATGAGCGTGAATTGTGTGATACCTACCTGTACCTATTTTCCTCAGATATGGACTACCTCTCACTACCCTTATCTATTTTCATAGCATGGTGCTTGTGGCGGTGGTGGTGGTGGTGTGTGTGTGATACATGTTTCGAACCCAAGTGAACCGAACAATGACAATGATAATGACAATGACTAACCAAAACTAAAAGTTTTGTCCAAATTTTGATGATGCAATATAACGTAATATATAAGTAACGTTACTTTTGACTCTGTGATGTGGTGTGAGCGTATATCGTGTTGGTGGTCAGAGTAAATGTTACACGGTCAGTTTTTCACGCTCACCATAAATTCATTTTTCTTATTTAATGCTGTTCCTACTGCCACCACCCCCTGTTCAATACCCTCCAATTTGTGACACAATCACAATGGAATATAACTACACTCATGATGAAAAGACAGTTATTTATGAATGCATGAACAGACAATTTCCGATCTGACCCTCCGGTGACCTCGAGTAGCTTTACGTCGCATTGTTATATTGTTGGATGTGTGTGTATGTAGCACCAAATGTACAATAACTCTTGAATGGATTTTCATTTTGGAACCGTTATTGGTCTTTTCATATTATTCAGTTTTAAATTTGCTTATATAAATTGCAAAATTATCATTTTGAAACAGGATGTGTGTGTATCTAGCAATCCAATAAATGGACCAATTGCAGCAAACAATTGGATGCCTTGAACATGAAATCAAAGCCAGCACTAAAGTCAAGGAAAGTGCATGTACACAAGAATATTCAAATATTGGTATTAGAATTAGCTTCACTGTGTCATGTATCCGTTTAACCAACTGCTTAAATAACTATGTGTATGGATACATATCTCTGGTCTCATCGCTTTTTATGACCTACCAATTGAGTGTCACAGTAGGTTGCAGTTGCATCAACGTCTTGCATTGAAATACGAGTCATTGTGTATTTCATTGTGTGTGCACACACTTAGAAAAGATTTGGTTAGATTATTGGAATTGGAACATGATGGTTGTTCCTCGAATGCGTCCCAATGTGTCCCATCTCCTCTCTCAAAGAAGAAGTAGAATGGTAATAATAACGTAACCCCGCCTCGCAGTAGTATGTAGGATAAGCTTATCATGTCGATATCGCATCTTTCCACTCGTCGCTTTTTCCTCGTTCTTTCGTCTTTTTATTTGTTTTGTCTAATATTGATCGGTGGGGGATTGTGATGTGAATAATGGAAGGAAGCTCATATGTCGTCCTATTGTCTCTTCTTCCCCAACGCTGCTCTTTGATAAAATTCGCTTTGTTTCCATAATGTATCGAATGGTGACACGGCACTGTGTCGTCGATCACAAGAGAAAACGCAGGACTAGTGACGGATGGAATTAGCTAAAAACCAATGTATTTAATGCATATTATTACGTGTGGTGAAACTAGGTACAACTATTGATGAGACTTCAATCAGCTCAATTTCAGTGTGAATAATATCAAATATATCAAATTGGTACGTAAAGAGATGTTATTGTTAAGAAAATTTAGCATTCTCAAGGTAACTTTTTTGGCATTATGAGTTCCGTAGGAAAAATTCGAATACTAAGAAAGTGAAATTGATCTAATATCACACATATCATTTTGTTAAGTTATTCGATATCATGGTGTGTGAGAATATTATGAATTCAACCCAATCTATTTGACTCAAACTTTCGCTGACATGATTAGAATTATTTTTCATGAATCGATTAAGGATCTACTGGACTGATCTTGAGTGCACGGTCAATAATTTTTGACAAACAATAGTAACTCGAAACAAATTAGGGTAATTTTTGAAAGATCATTTAAAAACTGCCTTTGGTACTACAATAATGGTCAGTACGAAAAAAATTGGTTCGAAAGACAGCATTTCAAAAATTTTGTAACCGGATTTGATAAAAAATTTTCAATCCGATCACTTAAGCTATTTACGTAAGAATTTCATCAAACTGAATGATTCAAATTACAGCCCTAGAATTGATGAATAAATACCAATTGAGATTTTTGTTTCACGTTGCCCCAGCCATAGAGTTTAAAATCTATGGTCGGGGCAATCTGAGATGTTTGTCTCACGTTGCCCCAGCCATAGAGTTTAAACTCTATGATTTTTGTCTCACGTTGCCCCAGCCATAGAGTTTAAACTCTATGATTTTTGTCTCACGTTGCCCCAGCCATAGAGTTTAAACTCTATGATTTTTGTCTCACGTTGCCCCAGCCATAGAGTTTAAACTCTATGATTTTTGTCCCACGTTGCCCCAGCCATAGAGTTTAAACTCTATGATTTTTGTCCCACGTTGCCCCAGCCATAGAGTTTAAACTCTATGATTTTTGTCCCACGTTGCCCCAGCCATAGAGTTTAAACTCTATGATTTTTGTCCCACGTTGCCCCAGCCATAGAGTTTAAACTCTATGGCTGGGGCAATCTGAGATTTTTGTCTCAACTCGCCCCAGCCATAGAGTTTAAACTCTATGGCTGGGGCAATCTGAGATTTTTGTCTCAACTCGCCCCAGCCATAGAGTTTAAACTCTATGGCTGGGGCAATCTGAGATTTTTGTCTCAACTCGCCCCAGCCATAGAGTTTAAACTCTATGGTCGGGGCAATCTGAGATTTTTGTCTCAACTCGCCCCAGCCATAGAGTTTAAACTCTATGGTCGGGGCAATCTGAGATTTTTGTCTCAACTCGCCCCAGCCATAGAGTTTAAACTCTATGGTCGGGGCAATCTGAGATTTTTGTCTCAACTCGCCCCAGCCATAGAGTTGTTGGATATAAGGGAACAACTTCCTGGGAGTATAATGGTAAAAGAAATTTCAAAATCCGAGTAAAATTGGATTTTTGGCGTGGATTTGATTGAATGAGTGAAAGCTGGAGTGAAAGCGATTTTTGGGCACCTTTGAGTGGGTGTGGCGAACGCAAATGTGGCCATGGAATCAAATCACTTCAGGGTTCTTGTTCATTCATAGGACACTACAACATATCCAAAGGGCATCGAGATCCGGGAGTTGATAGTGCAAAACCTCCCCTCCTAAGTTGAACTCTAATGAATTTTGAAAATCCTCCGAGCAGTTTTAAAAATAAAAATATGCAAATTTGACGAATGTGGACGCCACGGCACGAAATATTATTTTTTCACGCTGAAAATGCTAAATTTCGATGCAAAATTTTAGAAACAAAATTAGATTAACCCGTAAAGAGGGAGGGGAATCTTTAGGTAATAATATTATTAAATGCATTAGTGTTTGATAAAATTATATGAACTATTGCTGGGTTTGCTAAGGTTTCGTTAATACAGTCCCGTAATTAGCAATGAGTAGTATAAATATTTTAGTTATGATAATAGAATTAGAAATATAATAATTGAATTTTTTGTTAAGGTAAAAATCATAACTCTATAAGAAGAACAATTGCACATATAGTTTGCATTATAGCGTAGAATTGCAAAGATTATATTAAATATTGAGAAAAATTAATGAGTAATTAATTTCAACTTATTTGCAACCTGAGATTACAAGAAATTAGCTACATCTCATGGCCCATCGTTAGAGCAGATTGCAGAACATTCTGTATAAAAGTATATGGGAAATGAGAACGAAGCGAGGCTAATCATGGTCTCTTCGAAAGTATTCCTTCCTACGTCCTGCTGAACCGGACAGTTCTGGAGAACAGTTGGTCTGGTCCAGATACTAAAATTGAAATAAATTAATTGAAACTTTTGTCTGCTATGTCGTATGCCTGGGACCCATTAAACTTATTTGTCTGCTGGTAGTGTTGCCGGTTTTATTATTATTAATTTACGAATCATCTGGCAAGTTTCTGCTGCTACTGGTTTTGTGTCCATAAAGGGTAAGAATTTTAGTGTATCCACAACAGCCACGTAGTTAAGTACATCGAGTCATCGACTTCGTAAAAAAGTACGGAAATGTAATGAGTCATATACATCATATACGTACATAAATAAGTATTATGTACCAAACAGCAGAAGCCGTAGCGTCCTTCTGCATCATCTGTGGCACATACTGAGGTCAACTTTTTCACAATGTGGTGGCCATTACTTAACTAGCACAACACCATTTTACTTGAGTAAACACGACCAACTTAGGACCTTTTACCCATTGACATCAACCAACTTTTCTGAAGATGCTGTAAAAAAAGAAGAGCAATGCGGATTTCTGTAAACTATTCCAATATTATTATCTTCTGTCCTACGTAGGCTTCTAAATTATTGCAGGAGAGTCGTCTGTTATTGTTTCTCCACACTGGAATTGGTAGGTTTTACAGTTCCAACAACATGTATATTTTTGCTTAAATAAATGCGGAAATCGCCCTGAATGACAGTGACAAGTTGTGTTTACACAAGAGTTGTACACAGTAAAGTTCACGTAATAAGTGGTTGTATGTATTTAGTCAAAAATTTGTAAACATTTGCATATGCAAACCATAACGAAATAGTCATTTTAAGCTATGAAATAATGCTTCACGATGGAGGTTAGTATGAAATTACATAGATCGAATTATCGCTTAAAAACGGAGCTGAAACACCGATGGTGGAATAGTTTTTGTAATCGGACAGCATAACCTAGAATTGTTGACTTTTGACGTAAAAATGGTTCTACAACCGTGACATCAAATTGCGAGACATGAATAATCCTCAAGGCCCAATATCTATTTGCCGAACCAGCGTTTAACTAGATCAACAGAGACATGTAGGTGCTTATCCTGAGTAGGTACTTCTTATCTGGTTGCATATGCAAAACGTATTTATCTGTACGAGTCGCATATCATTATGGCCATTATTACTTGGCAGCAGCACACAGATTTCGAAAGATGACTTTTCGTCTCGTTTTGCAATACAAAGAGAAAGTGTCCATTTCCACAAATTGACTTTGGTTTTTTGTCCATCTACATTAAATATTGACATAACACAGCTTTTTCATGTAGGTGGCAATGTGCGACTGGACATGGTTCCGAATAATGTCGTTCATTCATCCTTGCACTACAAACACTGCATCACATACACTTTGCTTTGATTGGCAACGAGGGATTACACAACTTCGCAATAATAATCTAGCACATGCATGCATATGTATTATTATTATGAAATTGCCTAAATGCAACTTAAATGGTCCTTTGTGCCTCACAACTACTGGTGGTGTAATTAAAAATATCTACGTGACTGGCATTATAAATTGATGGAAAGCTGGGATTAAGTTAAGGGAGTTGCATGGACATGGACAAGCAATCCCTGGCTTGCTAAAACTGCAATTAAAAAATATATCTACAATAAGTTCAATTAATGTCACGCGTCAAGCAACATTGGTGTATATTTATTGACACATGCATGTACATATGTATATTTTCCTGTTCTTTAAGCCATTTTGGGCACATTTCTCGAGTACCAAACTTGTTGCTTTTACAGTAAATTTTAGAATCATGAAAGTGATAGTAGTACAAATCAATGTGTCCGTAATCTTAAATGTGCTCGAGGTTTTTAATCATCATATCAAAATTGTGCTCTTATGCATGAATCTGAAAATTGTGATGAAATACTGAAATAGAAGTAATTCCTGAATTACTTAAAAGAGAAAAAAGAGTGCTTCAGCACTCTTTTTCATTAATCATGTTTGCATCCAATTAAGGTTTATGTACACCTAGCAGTAACATGATGATAATATGGTGATAATTTGAGCTTCAGACCAGTTCATGCAACATTGCTGGATCCAAAGTTTAAATTCCATAAGACTTAATTTTGCATAATTGGAGACGTCCTTTCATTTATTTATTTGAACAAGGTCTCATATGTGAACTAGTGGAATTCGTATTCTCTTACGTAGCAAATACGCAGTAATGATTGTGACTCTTTGCCACTAATTACCGTTCGCTATATGTTCACACTTTCTCTTGACTTTCTATATTCAACTTGGAATGGAGTCGAGGGATGGATTTAAAGCACGTGTATCGATTTATATAATTAGCTTGGAACGGAATTATGTGAGAAGTCGAAATTTGCATTGTTCTGATGAATTTATTTTGTACAGTTTGATTGAAATGCTGTATGATTCCAAGAAGTTGAAGTATAGTACTAATTACTTATGTCTAGAAATATGGCATATGAATTTATTCAAAAGTCAAGTAATGAAAGTACGAAAGCACGAAGAAACTTTACATTAAACGACATTTCAATTTTAATTTTGACTTGACGTACATTAAATAGCACACCGAATAATTCATTCTCATCGTGGAAGAATGACTGACTGAATTACATATAATATATTATTTTATGTGAGGAATCATCATGATTGCAATTTAAAGCTTCGCAGCAGTAGCTTTTTGAATTTCCGTTTGAAATTCACGAAGTTTCATGGCCAAAGCCATATTTCCTTTGATCTTTAGTTTTCCTTGGAAGAAGGCTTTTTGAGCATTGAGGGTACCTGACATCAGATCCATCAAATCCTGATCATCCATCTGAAGAGTGACATCCGGATTGGCTGTACAAGTCAAAATGTTTTTACTACCGAGTAATGTATGTGCACTCTGATAAGGCAGCAAAAACTCACTTTTTCCTTGGAATTCTACTTTGCCCTTTCCATTCTTGACATCAACGATCCAATGGACCTCTTTCCCATCCTTGCCTTGCACCTATCCAGATATATATTTTTCAAAGGACTTTACCGTAGGGAGTACAAATAAGTACCAAGATTTATTAAATTCACAAACAGGTTAAAACCCACACCTTGAAACAATAAATCCCGTTAACTTTTTTCACCAATTCTTCTCCCTTTTCTTGTAATGTAACATCCAGTAGTTTAAACACTGGGGAGCACTTGAAGGAATCTTCACCCATTCCGGAACTACTAGAAAAAAGCAACGTATATGTTATGTATATTTGACAATTAACAATATCAAAAATATCCCAAATACAAAATTATTGTATAGTTCCAATATGACTGGGAATCTTGTTTTATAAGGGCATTTTATGTTTCAGATGAAATAATCGGATACAAAAAGTAAAGCACAAAAATAGATTTAATACAATAAAAATTTGCTTAAAATCTTAAAGTAGACTGGAATCAATTAATATTAAAATATTTTTCCTCGTTTTAATTAAATACACTCACTATTTAGAAAAATTAGCAGTTGATCAGAAAACAGTTCAGATAATGCACTGCAGTGATGAACTGAAATGTGGTTAAACAAATATTCGTTCAGTATATGCGACAAAATGCCAAGTTGTTATTCAGAGAGGAGAAAGAAGATAAGAGATTGTAGGTTGGAGGATGGACAAACATGATATCCAGTTCAGTTACCAGTCCCACCAATTCATTAAAATGGGGGTAACATATTTATGCACATATAACGCCCTGAATGAATTTGTTGTTGTTATTATTATAAGACTTACGTGGTACTGGTAGTGCTCGTGGATGCTGCCGCTGATGGGAACCCAAGTTGATAAAGTGCCACGACGACGGCCCCTCCGAGTCCAAGATTGTGTTGTAAAGCCAATCGAGCGCCGGGGACTTGGCGCTGTTCCGCTTCCCCTCGAAGTTGCCAACACAGTTCCGCGCATTGTGCAAGACCTGGAGGCAGAAACCAGAACGCAATTTATTTATGTATGGTATAATCACTAATATGATGAATGAATACTTATTAAGACATTCAATTCAGCAATAATAGCTGCCCTTTAACCTCCTCTCTTAACAGCCGAGGAGGAAAATGACTCATTTTTTCCTGCAAATAACTTTGACATATAAATGTAAATGTCAAAGTATCATCATGCCACTACTACAGATTGTTAAGAGTTCTGGGTCCAAAGTCTCAGTCCAGAAGTATCAACCTCTCTCTTTCTGTCTTATCAACTTATCAATTTCGCTCCTGTAGATACAACATGCAGCTCTAAACCGCATACTACGCTTGTAAATTGATACCTACATATATAAGGTGAATCTGAAACAAATGATGTTTTGTGTACCTGTAGCCCCCAAGGGATGACCCTTAGAAATTAGACCCCCAGATGGATTAACAACGTATTTTCCTCCATAAGTATTGTCTCCACGGTCAATAAATTCTCCCGCTTTTCCTTCGCCGCACAGGCCGAGGGCTTCATACGTTACAAGCTCATTTGCAGAGAAGCAGTCATGGAGTTCAATAACTTGGACATCATTGATTGACTTTCCGGCCTTTTGCAAAACTTTTTCCGTCGCCTTCTTTGTCATGTCATAACCAATCAATTTTATTGCGCTGGGTTCTTCAAAGGACGAAGGAAAATCAGTGGCCATTTCCATTCCCAAAATTTCGACTGCAGAACTCTGGAGATTGTGGAGTTTTACAAAAGCTTCAGAAACAATAATAGCTGCAGCTGCACCATCAGACGTTGGACAGCATTGCAGTTTTGTCAAAGGATCGTGAACCTTTTGAGAATTTATAATCTCCTCCAGTGTTCGAATCTGCTGAAATTGTGATTTTCTGAAATTTGTCAACACAAATTATTCCATAACTGGATTTTTTAAACAAAAGCTTAATTACATAAACCACCATAATCTGCGTAACTTACGGATTTTTTGACCCATGATTATGATTCTTCAAAGCAATCTTTGCAAAATGCTCCAACTTTGTCCCATATTTTTTCATGTGTTCCAAACCAGCATTGCCAAAAAACTGAGCTGCTACTGGTGCTTGTGCAAATCCAGAAACATTTATCATGGCTTCAACATGCTTATCCAATGGATTTGTTTTATTTGGGAAGGAAGAACCCAGTGAACCTTTCTCCATTTTCTCGAAACCGAGTGCCAGGACACATTCCGCTTGCATACTACAGGTTATAATCAATTGTTAAACAATATCATCCTAATCCTTGTTCGCAAAATTGTTGTCAATTATATTAAACTATTAAAATAATGCATTTGTATAGAGAATTAAAGTTTCTACGAGAGGACAAGAAAACCTCTGGAGTGGTAAACTTTCTAAACCCCAGCTTCTCAAAACAATACTTGTCTTCATTTTTTGTCAGACTAATTTGTGAAATGAAAATTTCGTAAAACTAAAAAATAGAAGGTCGATGTCCAAGACTAAGAAAAAAAGAATTGGTCGCCCTTCTATCACCCAAAAGATCCAATTATTCTCAACAACATGACAAACTCTAATTTTTCTGAACATGAAAATCAACTCAATATTTCATGATTCAGTACTGTACGGTGTCGACTTAGGTAAGTCCTAAAGATTGATTCGACATTATTTTTTATACATGATATCCTATTAAAATCAGTTTCCACTTAGTAAATGGCAAGTTTTATTACCCGGCCACTAGTTGTTTTGCAAGGTACAAGGCAGATGACCCTGTGGAACAGTTATTGTTCACATTGTAAATCGGAATCCCAGTCATTCCAACCCCATACAGAGAACGCTGACCGCATGTCGAATCACCTACAAATTTGCCCAACTTGCTAATTGCACTGAGTAATAATCGTCACTTTTTATTAAAGTTTGCTCACCATAAACATATCCAACACAAGCTTGTTCAATCTCATTGTAATTTAGTTTGGCATCAGACAACGCTTTCTTAACGGCTTCCTGTGCCATTTCTGGATAGTCTGCTGAAGTCCCCGGCTTGGAAAACTGTAACGATACAATTCAAGAAACTAAATTTCCAAATTTCGCAGTATAGTTACAAAATACCCACACCCATATTACATAATTACCTTCGTCATCCCCACTCCCACAACGTAAACCCTTCTCAGTGCTCCGGCCATGTTTTCCGATTGTCAAACTTAAAATCACCAAACACTACGACAAGACAAGAATAATGTACGTGCGTGCCTGCGTCCCTCTTTCAAAACTGCCAAAAAATCACTTAATTACCACACTTGCTCTTATTTACTAGCAGTGAATATATATTATGTGTGTCAGATTTTTCATAATAATATCCACTCAACTAATTCTTCGTGGTTGAAGAGACGTACTAAATACACGTAAAGCTTTACATTGATCACAACTTGACTGACCAACTATAAACATAAGTATGCACAACCTTACGACCAACAAGCATAGTCTATCCAGCTAATGAACTATGAACTCCTCTCATGCAATGCATTAGCAGTTGCCTTATGATAACACAAATTGAAAATAAACGGAGGAATAAACATACACCAAGAACAAACTGCTGATCTCTCCTCGAGGTTTATCCGTATTACTTTGGCCGAAGTTGTAATGTAAATATGTAGAAAATTACGCTTTTGTTTGTTGATAACCAGAGAAAGATAGGCGTCACGTCACGTATCTCCAATTCACCAAAAGTGAATAGTTCAGCGATAAAAGATATGCACTTACATGATGATATTCTATACTCTGTCAGATCATGTTGTATCGTACTTGACAGTCCAGATGTTGCTAGGTAAAGATGACCGGTTATACAATTAACCGTATTATAGTTATAGTTGAAACTCGCAAAAACTGAATTGGGGAAGGTGAGACGTTGAGACAAAGTTGGAGAAATTGAGATTTGTCTCAGTTCTCAAAATGCCCAGCAAGTAGAGTAAATAATACTGCTCCAGTGGATTGTGTCTTGTGTCGCACAATTTTGTGTGTGGATATGAAACGAAGGATGCTGAACTTGCCAAAATTTTTGTGAGACAAGATGTGATGTGCAGTGCAGTGCAATATGAATTGAGACAATTTATACTTTCGGTCGATACGCCGAAAGTATAAATTTGGCATAATTTCCAAAGAAAAATTTTAAAAATATTTCTCGAGATTTGCTTCGTTTGTATTTAGTAGGGCTTTGAATTTACTTAAAACTGGTTTCGTATATAGTAACTACAAAAGCCCATTGTCATTTATAATAGTTGCTTAGTAATGGCTGCTACCTTGGTCAAACAATATTCATCAACTATATGTATGTTACATAATATATCGTACAGCATAAATTTGTATATCGTCATAATAAAACTGTAACAACTTAATAATAAACACAACTGTCAAGTATATTTCATAAATTTCATAATATTGTGTAGTTAATAAGTACTATGCTATTGCTGGTGGCATGCATGCATCCAGTTCAAATTCATTCACCAGCCACAGATTGACACATGATAATTCATTTCATTATTTATGTAGATCAATACCAATCAGTGTAGAGTAGCCTAACATTTGTGGCTAAATATAAATTAGTTGCATTCCAGTAGAAAATACTCACTATTGACAGCACGTGTATATAATATTAGTAATGTAATATTGACAAATAATACATTTTCATTGATGACGCTATGTATTTATAATAAGCTTATAGCTAGTTACAATATGTTAGGCAATATATTTAATTAAGTTTCATTCCCCTAGTATTACTTGTAAAATTAGCGTTAATTACTTAAATTAATACTTGTATAGACTTCATTGTATAGAGCTCCAGTTGAAGTCAATATTCTAACGTCATAGGTGAGTTTTCGCTTTTCGGAGTATCCTGAATGAAAGAGTGCTTACATACAATTACTCTTATGAAACATTATGTTAAAACGTACACTTGCCAAGATCAAGAAGAAACTAATAAGTTACATGGAATAGTTTGCACTTTTTTCCCACTTCCAATAACATCGCTTATCATCTGTATTACAAAATAAAGGTAAATCGTTCCATATGACTAAACTGCTGTGTTTGGTGGTTATCAATAACCCGTTGCCGCTGTTGTGATCGCCACAAAAATTCGGCATGTAAAAACGGTTAGAGCATCTACGCGATATATATTTACGTAGAAATATAACGTCATTAATTACATATATAGTTTTGTATTATGTTAGCCGCCAATATAAATAACTCCTTCCATTGCACACGCATGCGGATTGTAACATCAAAAATTCCAGAATAAATTGCCAATTCCGGTAAACTTATAGTATTTTTATAATTATATTATGCTTGTGGTATTATGGCTTGTTGATGGATGTAAAACTTACAAAATACGTATCAAAATTAAATACCCATACTCTTTTGTAACCTCTGTCAACGGACAAGTGTAGATAAAACGGAGGATACTATAAAACAGGTTACAAGTAATGTTCAAACATTTTAGGATTACTTACACGCAAAGACAAGAGTGAAATTGTCCTGTATGAATTTTTGTTAGTGGTGCTACTTGTATAAAAAAGATTAACGTTGTAATAAACAATAAAGCCTTCATTATCAATTATGTATATCCGGTACTGTTATAATACTTTATCTGTTTCAGTCCGAATGCTAAAATATAAAAAAATAAATTCATCTAGATACCATAAAAGCTGCAAACGACGCACTGATATAGGGCTTGATTACCGCGCACAACGTAGTGAAAATGCATCAATTATATATAAAAACACAAATAAAATACAACTCGTATGAATTATATTGTAAGTAAACAAACGAACATGTATTGAAACACCTCAGATCTTTGGACGAATAAATCAGCTTGAAATCACAGGGAATTTGAATTATATATGACCGACGTCGTACATAAATAGATAATAAGGAAATTATGCTATGTCACAGAGTAAAGTAAGTAGGTATACCCATAGTTATAAAAATGCACGATTTTCTTGAGAATCGAATTTGAGTGTAAATCTCCTTAATTAATAATATGTTAGCACCAAACAAAGTTCCCTCAACCAACTACTTCTGCTGCTGCGGTTGATCACTCAATGATTTTGAATTTTTAATAAGGCATGGATATTCGGTCGAATTTCGTGCCTCTTTTATGTATACTTCCTAAATTCGGAAGTCTGGGTCATCACTGTTGTCGCTGTCAGAGTCGTCGCTAATAGCGTGTCGCTTCTTTTTCTTATGTTTAGACTTCTTGTGCTTGTGGTGATGGTGATGCTCCTTTTCTTTTACTTTATATGACTTTTTAGGGGAATCATTCCCAGGAAACGCCAGTGGGACGATTTTCAGCTTTGGTATTCTAACCTGTTCTGTTTGCTATAAGCAACAAGGAAAAATAAAAGGATCAATTATTTATTTAAAATTCTGCTTGGATAGAATATTCAGTTAATAAATAATATGTATGTGTGGTTTGATTCTTACTTTAATGGGCGAATTCGACAGGATATATTGTTGATTGACAATGCTATACTGAGAGCTGGAATTGTAGTTGGCAGTAGCCTGATGAGCGTTTTGAGCTGATAATACTGTCATTTGGTCATTCGGTGGTGCAGATGGGTTTCCTGCTGCTGATTTAGCATTGGAATACGTGAACAAATTTTGATCGATTTTTAACTTCACTGGTTTTGCTTCACCATCTTCATCCCCTTCTTCAGGATCAATGCGTAACATTAATTGCTTGAACTATATAAAGATTGATTGGATTAACATTTTAATAATTTTTCTGCAGAATTAACAAACTATTTTAGGTATTGTATTAAAACTTACATGAATGTATTGTTCGACAAGAGCTCGCCTACCCTCAGGTGTATGACCTGTCGGGGGACACTGCAGATTGGCCAGTGTACACTTTGGATCAAAAATATGGGCATTCTTCCGATTCACAGGCCTCTCGAAAGCTTTTGAGGCATCGGATGGTGAATAGGCACTAATTTTGCTAAAAACAAACGAGGACAAAAAAGGAGATGTAAATGTGAAGTTCAATCATGACATGTATATGTGAGAGAAGGAGGAAAACACAATAACTCACACATCATTGATTCCGTAGGTCTCTTTCAAGTGCTGTTTTAACATTAGCAGTAAAAGAACGCCTTGAGCACCAGTGATACAATCCTCCAAGTTTCTGGTGTCCTCTGGAATTCGTTTCAGAATTGTCTCGAGGTCGTCATCCTCATCATCATCGTCTTGAATAGGAGGAGGAAGAATTATATCAACATTATTAAATCCTGGCATTATATCTCCATTCTCAAGTGGCATAATCTCTCCGGGAAGAAGTTCATTAACCGGATGGACTGGAGGAGGAGGATGAATGGGGATTAACGACTGTAACAATAAAACAGTGGTTATTTAATATTGCATCATCATAATTACTAAATTAAAACTCTAATAGTAATTCTATTATATCACATATAGTCCACAATATGTAACGTACTTCTTTGAAAGACTGAAGAAGATTAGATCCAGTAACTGAGATTACAATGTCCACATGATGAATTATGAATAGTGGCTCATCAATAACTTGATAGGGGAAGTACGCCAGATTGTCACAATAGTACAGTAAATCTGCCAATCTCGTTTTCTGCAAATATAAATCAGTTATAACCACGTAAATAATAAAATGTGCAATCAGCGGAGCACCAAAGTTAATTATACTCATAAATGTATTTCATTCTTACGTTCTGATCATCAAATTGTTGCAGCAAAGATCGAGCAATGGCCCTTCTTTGTGGTTTAGTTGACCTTAACAATGAATACAAAAATCCATTTAGAGCGGAAGGCTGCTCTTTTGGACGAACTCTGTATCCTCGAACTAAAGGAAGGAGATGGTCTTCAAAAAAGGAATTTAAATGTTCTGAGCTTTGACTTTGGTTTTGTCCATGGAATCCAATGAGATTTGTAACTGCTCCATTATAACCAAGTAAAATTCGTTGAAGTTGCAAACTCAGCTTTATTCCATTGAGAACTTGACTCTGAAGAAACTGTGGATGCTTTTTCTCCATTTCTTGGAGCTGTTTATCCGCAGTTGTCGACACTCCAGGTTCTGCATCGGTACTCATGCAAATCAAATAGGGAACAATCTGTACACAAAACAAGACGATTCAGTGACAAATCAAACTTTTAATATTTTCATTATTGTAAATACCAAGTAACCGTAATTGCCATTTATGCACATTTAGTAAAAATTAAACTCACCTGAATTGGATGTACAAGACCTTGTTGGAGAACTAGCTGAATGACACGAACAGCAGCTAGTCGAACGCTAACATCTCGATGCAGGAAGGCTTCAAGTATTTGCTTAAGATAGATTTGTACTATGGTGGAGGCCATGCCTAAACATACGAAAATACAAATTTATTTCAATTTAATGAACTAAAAAACTTAGGTCATGCATAACAAGTACTTGCCTGAAGTAACGTCTCCCATTTCTTTAATATCTTGAAGTTTAGCATTCTTTTGCCACTCTTGGTCTTGTTTGATCATTCGAAGTTCTTCCTCGGTGAGATACAACTGAATGTTAAATAGTGCCTGTGACTTAAGTTTGATCTCTGCTGACGATGTCAACAAACCCTGATACACTCTTTTTAATTCATCTCCCAACATAAAGTCGTAATGACGTATGCATAAATTTCCAACAGCTTGTAAACTGAACAGTTGAAGATCAACGCATTGTTGGTCAATCAGGTACATCAATTCGTTAAAGATAATGTTCACCGTAGACGCCTAAAAAGGACAGCAAATAGACAAGTTGATTAGTAACAACAGGTATTTTCAAATTTGTAACTATACTGAAAAAGTTAAAATGTTTGTATAATAAAACTAAATAAACTCACCGGTAAGTCACCGTATACATCGTGATGCATGAAATCAAAGTATCTCAAAAACATTCCAATTGTATATATTGATCTTCGTAATCTTGGCCGCCCCTCCTTGAGACTAGGATCGTGTGGTTGATCACGCAGCGTTTTTGTTTGTGTAAAAAGAATGGCTGCATAAAAAGTAAAATACATTGTGTTATTATAACAATTCATCATTGTAACTTACTAATGATGAAGTAGAACTGCAACGGTTTTAAACTTACTTTGAAATCTTCGAAAAACATCACGCACCAAGGCATAGTTGCGAGTAATTTTATTAACAACGGCCCCCAAACATGCTAAACATGATTCAATAACGCCTTTGTCATTTTTGAATATCAGCTTAACACAATCTTCTTCCAATTGGCTCAAAAATGAGTCTGCTGGATTGACTAGAAGCGGAACGACCAACTCCAGTATGGCTGCAATGTTTGCAATTGCTTGTATCTCGGCAGCGTTCTGGAAAAGAACAAATATACAGTAAAACATTAGACTGACTTGATGTAATATAATAACCATTAAGTATCCAAGCTGCATTTTTATACATACCTGACAACGTAGACTCAAATAGCCCTCTAAAGTAATTGCATGGGTGACTAATAATTGAGGACGTATCTTAGCAAACAGGTACAGAGTAGCAACACAAGCTACAAATCGGGATGACGATGATGATGCTGGTTGACTACCGGGTTGTTCAGAATTTTCCTCCAAACGAAGTACATGCTCTACCAAACAATTGACGATCTGCGTTGAAGCAGTGAGAACTATTTTCGGAGGTTCCGGGTTCACAACCTTTTCTCTCACATCGTCATTCTTTTCATCTTTTGGTTTGAATAACTGTTATTAAAAACAAAAAAGTAAGTGATTTAAAAAATGCAAACTTGATAAATAAATATGGGAAACACGTTGCATATTATGTGTAGCTTACACTCAACAAGAGTTGCTCAAAGAAATCCAGGCCAATCTTTTCACAGGATGCTACAACTTCAGTGATGTTTGACACTTTCCGAAGTAATGATTTTGTGTCGAGGGGTTCTTCCCGGACTGGAGAGAACCACATATTTTGAAACACTTCCATCACCAGCTTCCTGATCCCATCTTCGTCATTTACACGCCTAATCATCTTTACGCAAATCTCTGGAATTTTTCCAAACGTAGGATGTTCTACACAGACGTCTCGTAGAATTTTGATAACCCGTTTACGAACGCTAACACCAGTATCCTGTATAAATAAGGAAATGATGAATTACGATATCACGCATTAGGTGAGAGCGTCTGAACGTTATCAAATTTGTATATTACAACTTACCAAAATACGTAGAGACAGAATATCATAGTACTTCTCAATGAGATCAGGACAAGAGAGCACGTACTTGCCGACAAGATCTACTGCAGCTTCTCGGACAGCGGTAGATTGGTCTAGAAAAGAGTTTTGCACCCATAGCTGCATGTCATGGCGCGCAAGTACACTGGGATCGGCTTCTACAACCATTGTAAGGCAACGAAGAGCTTTGGTTCGAATAGCAACTGTAGACTCTGTTGAGACACTCAGAATCTAAGACAACAAAGGATGAATCAATGACAATTTTCATAAATCATGATTCTTTAATAAGTTTTAATTAGTCACCCTTGTGAGGAAAAAATCAAAGCTGGCAGAGAAAGGTCGTTTAGATGCTAAATAACGTGTTAGTAATTCAGCACTCTGATAATCCACGAACGAGTGAACCACTTCTGCTTTCCTCGACGTCATTAAAGGATCAGAAAAAGGTCGGACTTTTGTTAACAAAAAGTTTCTCCTTCGCTCCACCAGTTGTAATAGTTTGGTGTTTAGTTCCGGTTGACCACCTTCTTCCTGTTCTTCATCCTCGTCATCGTCATCAGAAAGTTCGGATTCTTCTCCTGAGCTTGAACCTGTAAACAAGAAAATAATATATTTAAAAAAAATGATGTTGTTGTCTCAACACATACAATTTTTAATCAACTGCTTTTATACCACTACAGAGCACTATTAAAACTATTTAATATTTATATATAAGCTACTTACTACGCTTTTTCTTCTTTTTCTTGCGGTTGGCTTTCAATCCGCTATCCACAGCCTGAATGCTTTTAGAAATGTCGTTCTGAGCGCTTTTCCACCATGAGGAAATGTAAAAATGACGCGATTGCATCAAAGCAGCATCTGATTGACCATTTACTGCGAGATAATCCAACAATAATCTTTGTAGAAATTCCACTTTATCTTCTTCGTTGTTTAAATCAAATGGCTCCTTCTTCATATCGCCGTAACCTTCTTCTTCAGCTCTTATATCAGCAATTATTCGATCAATCGTGTCCAATTTCTTTTGAGCAGACACAGCATCCTTCCTCAATCTAGCAGCAGCTACTCCCAAGTATTCCAAAGATGCTACCCTCATTGAGACCTCCAATTGTTTATTTCCCAAATTTTTAACCAACAGATTTCCCAGTAGAGAAAGTAATAGCTCAGCAGCTGGCCACTCGGGTTTGTTGACGGTGGACAGTAAATCTTGTACAAAGTTTTCAAACAAAACCCTATAATCACAATCTTCCGACTTGCTGCCACATTTTCCTAGGAAAACAGTCAAAAAATTTCCTGCTATCCTTAGTGCCGTGTCAAATCTCCCGGAAATTAAAATGTCGAGATCCGTCTGCAAAGAGTAATATCCGAGATTATTAGATGTATTATTAAATTAATTCTATTATACATATCGGTAGCTTAGCTTCTAATATATTTTTTTAAATCAGCAAAATTGTATACATGTTGTTTTTCTCACATACTATTTTTTGCTCTTCAAACTGAATGTTAGTATTGATTGATACTTAATATGTAGAAGCAGAATTACAAATAGGAGTGGACAGTTGGATGGGATTACATCTTTTAGTAGCTTCAAACTTGTATATGGACTTACATTGTTTTGTTCAGCCTGACTTTCTCCATCATCAGCATGTACCTTCTTTTTCTTTGCCGACAGTTTGTCAGGTAGGTGCGTTACACACTGAATTAGTTGTAGCACCAAGGCCGTCAACATTTGTATGTTTTCATCGGATCCGGCAGATAATTTGAAAGTTCTTATACTGCGTTTGCTACTGGGTAGTCTTGCAATTGATGCTAAAATGTCTTCTAGTAGAAGTCTTCGATGTTTATCGTAGTGGGTGAATATCTGTAGATACGATAAACAATGTGTTACGGGTTATTATATTTATGTGTATCGAATAATAAATCCAACGGACAATAATAGTCTCTTCTTGATGGGCCATGATAAAAACAAGCAATATGTAAATAATATTATACTTACCCCCGTAACTAGCTTCAATGAGGATAATTGAAGTTCAGATACGTTTTCCACAAAGAATGGTGACACACCGAGTGTGGATAAATGCAACACAGTGGTGTCAGTGAGTACTTGTACATTCAGAAGCTCTGCTAGCAGGCCGACAACTTCATGCATTTTCGTGTAGAACGTGAGCATAGCTTTTCCTCGAACCTCTCTGGCGTGGGCTCGTTTCTTTTTATTGCTGGATCCTAAATCTGTAATAATGAATGAGTTGGTTTCCATGATTGAAATAAATACCACATATGGTGACAGGAATGCATGATATATTTTAAAATAGTTTTTTAGAGGTTTTATCTTACCACCCTTGGACCTTTTATCGATTCTGTATACTGGGTCGAAAGTAGGAAAAACGGTATTCTGCAACTGGTACTTGGAGAACATTACGATTCTGTCTATGAGATCTTCCAAGTAGGCGCGTTTTGGCATATTTGGGCTAGTTAAAATGTGAAGAGAAGTTAAACAGGCTACGACACCTCTAGATATACTGTCCATTGTTAGTTCCAGCCATAATCTACTCTCTTCGTCATTATCGTCCTGAAAACAAAGGGAAAATAAAATTACAAATTGTCTATTCCTATAATTGTCATCATTAGGTATTTTGTATTTACTGGATCTGCCAATGGCGTGACTTTGCATCCATCACGAATATTAATTTCCAGGAAGGTTAAGAGCCGAACAATCTTCTCTGTAGGCATTGCCTCCATAGCACCAAGAGCTTTCAACTTTGCTGCTTCCGAACACAACTCGTTCATGTGGGTCTTGGAGATTAGCAGCTCTGAAGGAACATTTCCATCTTCATCCATATCGATCTCAATTTTGTCAGCGTAGTCGATACTTTCTAAGACAATGTCCATCGTCTTGAGGAATCTGTGGTACGTACTGTTGTCCAAAATATTTCCCCCAAGTTTTTCCAGGACCGGTATAAGCATTCGTTCAACTCTGCGAACTTTCTTCTTTGGTTCTTCAACAGGTTCCGGTTCTGGCACTGACATTTTCCTCTTCTTTGTAGACTCTGGTGGAGTTTCATTCGTGTATTCTGAATCCTTGCTGCTTCGGCCTGAATTGGAAGACAAAAAGTCAGACATCAGTATCATCATGTATGTGACATGATAATTAATAAAAATATTAGTTAACCACTCTATAAATTATGCATAGAAATACTCCAATCAAGTACTAAGCACAGACTTTCTGCATACGAGATCATACACTGCCTCACCTTGTTCGACAGCTTCTTTCTTATTACTTGCCCTATCAGCCTCCAACTTGTTTGGAGAGAGGAAGGCGCTTATAACTTTGGGAGAATATACCTTCTTCCTTACCAGCTGCCTAAAACAGGGTCGAAGTTCTACCCTAATTTCCCTCAAAATCAGGCCACGTTCCGAAATTTCCTCCTCCGCCAGCACCAGAGGAGGGGAAGGAACCTTACCACACCCACTCTTTAAATCCCTCATTAACTATTACAAAATCGTATAAATAATAATAAATATATAGGTATTTTAACCACCGAATTCTACCCTTCTCCTTCCATATCCCAGTGACAAATTTACCACAGGAATCTGACCTTTCTCCTATTTTGCTAATTTCCTACTTGCAGATAATTTTTAAAGATTACACTAATTTGGGAGAAAGTATACGAACAATTTTAACCCCTCCGATACGACAACGACGTATCCACCAGCCAGGGAGGGAGATGCTAAATGAGTGCATCATCTTCTCCTCCACGGCCAGGTCAACCGCAGGTCGACTTTTCAAACGTGAATTTTCATTAATTTTTTATTAGTTCAGCTGAGGGAGACGAAAAATTGAGCAGTCTCACGTTTCCTGCTTCCCACCAATTCAACTCCCTCTCTTTCATCGCGCTTCTCTGACCGGCCACGCTTTTCCTTCACTCCTTCACTCCTACACGTTGTTCCAAGACGACGGCTCATTCTTATCTTACGTCTCTCAACTAATTTATCAAAACTAATTTAAAAATTGGTTTTGAAATTGAAAGTCAAGGCATCTCTTCTACTGGCAGCAGTGCGGGCTGCTGTTGGCTACAACTTTATTCTTTTTTCAAGTAGAATGATGTCGTAGCCAATCGTAGTCGGCATTGGTGCAATTCATCCTGAAAGAACTAGGACATAATTGGAAATTCTACAAGCAAATTGAACATCAAGTTATGCGGATCACTTGTTTTCTCGTGTTTTCAAACTTGTTCTAAATGTGTTTGAATACGACCAAAACAAGGGATTCACATTTTACTAGTACTGCGCTGCTGCTAACAACCTGAAAATGCAGACTGGACTGTGGACCAGGTAATTGATTTATTTTGAAGTTTGTTTTGTCATATTTAAGTGGTGGGACTATTTGAGTTGCCGGCATTAATTAATTAATAAGGTAAAAATATTTAATATAACTGCAGTTCATACTTTTTCTCTTATCCTTGGCATTTTCTTTTGACTTGAATATTTTTCCTTTTCTTCCTTTGGACGGGCTTCCTCCTCCGTCATCATCTTCTTCCTCTGAGGTTTCTTCGCGATAGTTTTTGCTAGAATTGGTCGTAGCTTTCCTCCCAGACCTGTTGGGCGTAGTGGGTGTGGTGGTTGATGGTTCTACTCCCGTCGAGTCTTTTCGTTCCATTTTCGCCAAAGCTTGTTGCATCAATTGAGCATCGTGGTTCCTTTCCAACTTGACCACCAACTCTTTTTGGTTCTGTGAAGCAGTAGTAAATGATTATAATTAATTTGCATTAATATAGGTCTCATTTGTAGGTGCTGTGCAAGAAGTTTGTTGGTCATAACAAGTTTTGATTTGTGTTCAATTTTGTAAGAATGTGCGTTGTTACGTCATAGTCATTCTTTTAATTAAGAAAGAAAGAAACAGAAAACAATAATATCATAGTCTTATTGTTCCATTGGCAGCCAGCCAATTTAGAATAAAAATTCATGAAATAACCGTAGTGATTGTCCTATTCAAAGTTCTAATGTGTATGATTCGATTTACCGATTGATTAGTGAATAGTATGTGTGGGATTTAAAAGTTAAAGGGCTCTCTTTTCCTCACCTGAAGTGTTAGATGATTTGTTGAATCGACATTATTATTCGTCTTATTTGGCGTTACGTTATTATTTTCGAATTTAACCATTGGAACATTCATGGATATTTTAGCTACATTATGAATATCGGGTACACTTGCACTATTCACAATTGGAACGCCAGGAGTGTTGATGTGATTATTTGCGTTGAACATTTGTCCACTAGAGAAATTAGCACTGACCCCACCACCACTTCTTCCACTATGATGAGGAGGAGTTATTAGATGACTGGTGGAGTGCATGGGTTGTTGAGTTATTCCCATGGGGGCGTGTGTAGGACTACTTCCAGGGATAATATCAGAACCACCGATACTGTTGGACAAGTGAGGCAAGATGAGCGGTGGATTTCTCCCCCCTCCGACGGAGGAAGAAGACGCGTTGGGAGTCATACCCCCACCACTGCCACTCTCGTGCACTAGTCCCATCATATTGGCCCCTCCAGAAGGATAAGGAGAGTGAGAGTTACTCTTTGAAGGACTCATGGACTGTTGTAATGGAACTTGTGGTTGTTGAGGATATTGCTGTTGTTGAAGGTGCATCATTGACGAAGACGAAGAGGATGACGTTTTGTTATGGGATTGGTGAGGAATAATTGGTTGCTGTTGAACTTGCTGGGAATGGTGGTTTAGATTTATTTGTGGCGAGTAACCAGTCATGGGCATGGTGTTAGCGAAGGGGGAATTTCCACCACCAGGACTTGTCGATGATGATGAGGTTCGATTGGAATACATTTGATGTACCACACTGCTGCTGTGATCTGTAGTCAAATTAGTGTATTATCAGTATTGAAATAAATGATGAAGGTTAATTGTTCTATTATTTGAAAGTCAGTTTTTACTACCTTGTGAATTCCTATCTGTCTTTGTTGCTTGCTCAGGCTGAAGACCGCTGATGAAATCAAGACTTTGCTGCATCTATGTGTATTAATTAGATGGATTAGTTGTTGACCAAAGATAATGCATATACGTTATTCTCGATTCACATAAATTACAAAAAAATACCATTTGCAAAGTGTCACTATTCATGACACCTGGATGATGTGGAGCTTGGAGATCCATGATGGGATTCATGGACATGTGAGAAGTCCCAGCCATCATACCATGTTGTGATTGTGGCGAGGAAGATATTCCGGAAATGTTGTTGATTCCATACATCTGACTTTGACTGTTTACTACTTGGCCGTGTTGACTGTTATGGCTCCAGTCCGTCATATGTTCTACATTATAATATTTTGCCCAATCGATGAATGTTCTGTTTTGTCTGAATTTATAATAATGATGATAAAGGTCTTTCTTGTATAAATATTTACCATGTTTTCCTTTAAATACGTCTGCTTTTCTATGAATTATGCCTGCCAGCAACCTGGGAGCATTAGGATGATCCAAGGGCATTTCATTGTACTGATCTTTCAAGTCTCTGTAAAACGAGAGCCAATATGTTTTCAATTTACATTTCTAAAATGCATGGATAATGTGTATTAATCAATGTTATTTCTTACATATGCTTAGATGACGTCATACATAGCGACTGAATTAACTGGGGAATGAGATTGTCATCGTTAATGGAGAGAAGTCGCTGAGCCTCTTCTGCAACTCTTGGATGAAAAAGAAGCGACTTGTTGCTCAAAGTTTGTGGCAACGGAGTTGGAAGGGGCATCTCTGGCAGCACTTGAAAGTATACAAACACAATTAATTGATTGCACTTGCAAGAAAATAACATGTTATTTGAATTTCTGATTTTCATACAGTCCACCAAACTGGAGACTCCTGCCAAAGTTGTAATTGGAACGGAAGGGATTTCTCCATTCATGTTGAAGGTGGGTGGTTTGTTGTAATTCCACGCAAATTCTTCCTGGATAATTATCGAAACCGGAGTAAATGCATCCTCAGTTCAGACCTGTTTTTCAAAGAAAATAATCAAGATAGAGTTATTCAAACATGACGACAAGATTATTATCCAAAAGAACTCACCTCTTTATATTCGAATTAGTTAAGTGTCAATTTTCAATAAGTCAAGCGCCAAGGTTGGCCTGTACTTCTGTACTTTAACTCTGTACTATTCTGTATGTATGGAGGACGGGAGAGATTTGAGCAAATAGCCGTTCTATGGTAAGGCAAACCCCTTCAGAATGCCAACTCTGATCTCTTCTATATAAAAGTTGTAACCAACCAATATTCTGCCGTTCTGTCTACAGGTTACTTGGATTCCCACGGCAGTCGCTAGTTGCGTTGGGGGATGTGTTTCCATCTTTGGGGCTCCCCCCTTCACACTCGCTCCATTAATACTCAGAAACCACGGAATACAAAAGAAGATACGCGATATTACACTACTACATACTCTCTCTCAAAACAGAAAATGGTCCTCCTACCCCTCGCTATCATACCACCATCATCACTACCGAAGAGTAGAACCGAGTTCATTGAGCCAACTTCTTGTAAGTAAACATTTGCAATCTATGCCATACAAACTTTAAGCAGTGAATTCAAATCAACGGCGGTTGCACCCAAAAAACCTTTCTGTGCAGTGCAGTGCAGTGCCTACAACACTTTTTATGCAAATAAATTGAATTTGAAAATGTATATTAAATAGTTACATTTGCTTATGCCAATATTTTAAAATGTGTATAGGACGGAGTGAACGAATACCATCAGCTGAGAGAGAAGAGATAAGAAGGTTTCAAGAACGGCAACAAATTAGAGCAGCCGAAGAACGAGAGCTTATTCAACAGGCCCAAGAAAGAGAGTTAATTAGACAGCATCAACAAGAATTAATTATATTACAAGGATAGGAACGACAACAAGTTCAAAATTTGCAATTTTAATCAATTCAATCAGAGGATGAAGCCAGAGCAATCGCAGTCTGTAGAACAACCAAACCACCTTCGAGTTCTCAGAAGCCGGAGTTGTGCGCATTACTTTATCTAAAGAAAATTGAAGTGGCTCTTCCTTGTAAATATTGTATATATCTATGGATTATCTCGAGATGATGATCGTACTTTCGAGATGGGACAATATTGTTGGTCCCCAGTGTGTATATTTATGGAACGAAGAGTTGACCAGTGTATATTACCCAACAAACTTACCTCCAAAACTCTCGGGAATAGTCAAGTATGTTACGGACCACACTGTCGACCACCATGAAGTGAATGGAAATTATATTAGTCCGTCGACACAAAAGACTAGCCTTTGCATTGTGCCAGAGCTTAAGTTTGTATATTTATCAATGTCAATTCGTGTCCCATCCGAAATGGATACGGTCCTCGAGTTTGCAAGTTCCTCCTCTATGACAGCAAATGATCCAGATCAACCTGCTACTAGTATTCCTCACGCTGTTGCTGTTCTGGTCGATCTCAAGTTCCTTTCACATTTTCTCTTGTTAAGGCCTTTGGTTATCAGTTGGTTGAGTGAGTATGTGCCAAAAATTGGAGTTATTGTGTGTAAGGTGAGTAGCGAAATACTTTTATGTGCACATGGCATGATGTCCAGCATTAAATTCATATTTGTATTTATTTCAGAATACAATTAAAAGTTCCATGATAAACTCGTGGTGTGCCGAGTTGTGTAAAACAATTTTTGCTTTGAAAGCATGTTGGGTGCAAGACGTGGCTAATTCCTTATCTGAGTCGCCATTGACCTCCACAACTGGGAAGACCAAATCTAATTCTCAACTAAAGAATGGACGTAACACTAAGAAGTCCACAAATTATATAAAAAAATCTAATGCCACCAACGACATCAACGATTCCAATTTAAAGATATTAAATACAACAGATACAGATTACTTGCCTCCAAATCTTCGTCATGTTTCAAAGTCGTCTTGGGGGTGTCTGCTGACTTCGCATTTATCCACGTTTGGTAGTTCAATAATTGTGGGGTTTGATAATCTGGCCGTTAATCAGGTGCTTTATATATGTATATATTTATGTTTCTTTACTCTGTATGTAAATATTGGAACAGAATAATAATGTATTTTAATTAATAATATATTCATATTATTAGGTCATTCGATTTCTACTCTGTTTTTCGTCCAACCAAGAAGGTTACTGCTCTCGTTACTCGTTGGCAAATTTGCCAGACACATTTATGAAGGGACTTTTAATTCAGGTATAAGAATAATTTGTGTTTATTGATCACTAAACGGAGTGAAATCTCAATTTAAAAATGTTTGTAACAGGGACTAGCACTGGGAGGAATAGGAGAGAGAAGCATATCTTACAATCAAGTTGTATCAAATAGACTGCCATTGACTTATGTGAGTTGTAAAATTTGCATTATGTATTAATTAACCAAGTATTTAATTTTTTTGGTTGAATAGGTTGAACTAGGCTCAAAATTCGTTGTAAAACAAATGCATCCACAAAGCCACTCTCAATTTAAAACAAATGTACTTATGCAAGAATTACGAGCATTGTGGACTTCTGCAGCTTATATCTCACCAACAGCAGAGTAATACATAAATGCACAATTCATTTATACACTTGTCTACTTTCTCATTAATTTCTGAAATTGTGGTTTCTTGGTTTAATTGTTAAGTGGTAAAATTGTTTTTACATAATTCTAGTCCGTATGCTGAGCTGGTGAAAGAGGCAGCTGGATTTGTAACTCAGTTTATGGAAGACTTGATTGGGTTACCTCCAGAGCGTCGTTACGGATTTATCTTGTTATTCCGCAGACTTATTCACACGAAAGCAATGACCCTTATTACGTACTTGCATTCTATTAGGTAACATACTACTAATTCATTGAGTTCGTCAATCAGTAAAACTTTGATTTTGTATGATTTCAGGCCACTACCCAAGGCTGATCGACTCAAATTAATTAGATTGATTCCAGATATGTACAATTATGACGAGCAAGAGTATACAATAATACAAATTGCTGCTGAAAAATTGAAACCTGGGATCCTAAAATTGCTATATTTTAAGTAAAACAACGACTGCATTTTGAAGTGCCAAAAAATAATTATTAATAATTTTAAAACATATGCATTTATATGTTACTGTACACACATTATATTACTGCTGCTTGAAACGACAAATATTAAAGGTGGATATCATTCCTACAAGCAAACTTCATGATGATTTAGTGGAAATGAAGTGTGTATAATTAATAATGCATTCATTTCAAATTTCCTTTATTGTCATTATTTTAACACATTTAAACTCTCTCCAATTCACCTCTTGATATTTAGAAGAGGTGACATTATTTGGGCGACTAGTAGTTCTATTTTACATATATTTCACACCACAGCCGTTTTCATTTCATTTAGTAGGTCGCATATTATACACTTGTCACTTTGTTGTTGTTGCCCCTCCAATCTCGGATTCTCTCTCTCTCTTGCCTTCCTTGATGCAAAAGTGGTAGCCAACCAAACAGTGCATTCATTCTAATTTGGCCATCTCCGTGGTTGGTTTTCGTGTGTTTTATTTGAGTGAGCGAGTAGGTGAACTCCAGCCATCCTAAAAAATTGCTTCTCCTCAGAATCCTCGCTCTCCTTTGGCGTGTGAACATAGCAGCAGCTGTCCCTCTCTTTTTGAAAACGATTATTCAATTTCCTCCGATACGTGAGGACAACACTTTCAAATTTCAGTGAACACTAGTCTAGGAAGGGTCGGAAGTGGAATTTCTTTTCTAATTCACACTTCAAGGAGGTTATAACAGGTGAATTTGTAAAACTAAAAGCAACCCGTCCTTTTCACATTTTGTTTTTAAGTTTTTAACGGGATTAAAAAAATATTTTTGGGTCTATTTTACAGTTCTCTTCTAGTCGTAGAAAAATTTGGACCTAAAGAAGGCTGATTAGGATTCGTTTCGCTCGTTATTATAAACTTTCAAATTCTTGTACGGTGAAGAGGGGACTGAATTAATTAGGAAAAAAATCTTGTCTTTGTAATTTGCAATCATTGATCCCTCGGCTTCACTTAACTATTATTCCTCTACTGGACTTCTACAAAGGATCCTCAGGTCTCGCACTTTGAAGCCCTTGCTCAACCTGTGTCTCAATACTGTCGTCCGTTTGATTGACCCTCGGAGTGTCGGATTCGACTACAACCCCCAAATCGTGGACTTCGAACAGATTTACAGCAGCTCCTTCGAAGTAAAAGGAGTAATCATTGAAGCCATGAAGAGAGCGAAGGACCGTTTGTTGGCGAAACGTTGCGATCGATGTCGAACAAACAAGCTCGCATCGCAAGAGAAGTATGCCTTCAAACCGTTCGAATTTCAGGAACTCCTCGTGGATTGTATTAAGGGGCTGAAACCGCATCATTGTATTGCACCGAAAGGTATGTTTTTTTTTGTTTGCGTTCTTTTTTGTTGATGGGTACAATTCTCGTGGAAAACAAAACATCACACATCGATCGATGGTCAATGATGTCGCTCTGATTTGAAACACGTGCATCCTTCAAATTTGTCCGCTGATGTTATTCATTAATTTTCCAAGTTGGTATCATCATTGTGATATCATTCTATTATATGCTAACTAGGGACAAATGGCCTACGTCATCGTATGCATATAAGTGAGTTTCATTGTAATGGTCTAATTATTAGAATCGTGGATGTTTTGATTGATAATCTACTATTGTTATTTCTTAATTTCTATTGCTTAAATTGGTAGGTGGATAATTCATTTTGTTATTACGAAAGGAGTGGTGTGATGTTTTGCGGTTAAGAGAGAGTGATATGTATTAAATAGAGAGATATGTCGGACTTCTTTTATCTCTAGTTTACTTTCGTTCATAATTAGGTGATAGGCTATATACGCAGTCACTGCACCTTTTTATCTTGTCAATCTTTATTGATCAGTACGAAACAATTTAAAATGTGAGGATAACAGCAGAACGGATCATTGCATGCACTACAATATATACATATATATTCATGCATGCATATATCCGTTATCATGCATGCGTATACTTTCAAGGGTCAAGTGTATTGTTCTGAAACCTCGTACGATAATTTTTTTTTGTCGAATCTACCTGAACGTTCAAACGTTCCACTATTAACCGTAGCAAAATGAAAAAGAGATAAATTGGTTTCAAATTTAAGAGGTCAGGTCATGTTAATAGTAGTTAATTGGTGGTTAATAGGACGCATATCCTATTACTAACTAATGACAGCAAACGTGATTAATTAGTTAATTTTTAGTCTAATTTTTTATTTACAGTGCCTGACCCTCGATCGGGTAAGTTTTTAAAACTAAAAGTAAACTGAGAGCAAGATAATGAGTTTTCCTAACGACAGTGTTATCAATTTATTGTGCTAATTATTCAGGTCATCGAGTAGTTTGTGATGATGGCAATATGTATTCTTTCGGAGGCTACTTGGAAACCAGCATAAACTCAAATTGGCCACCGCATCTTGCCCATGGATCCCAACGCCTATTTCAAGAGGTTGTTTATTTATTTGACTAAGTAAAATACGTGTGGTTGTTTGCCATGTGCACCAGTACTAAGCTTGTTATCTCTATTTGTTTACTAGTTGTGGTGCTACAACTTTGCTGAGGCCCAATGGATACGATTACCAACGTTAGGAAAAGCTCCCAAGGAGCTCGCTTCTCATTCTGCCGTCCTTCATGGAAATCATTTGTTGGTGTTTGGGGGGACAGGGGTTCCTTTTGGAGGCTGTTCTTCTAATAAGATGAACATTTGCGACCTCCGAAGTCTGGAATGGAAATGCTTAGAAACAACGGGGCAACCCCCAATACCTCAATATGGACAGGCTGTTGTTTTGGATCGCAAAAACAAAGATTTTTATGTGATTGGAGGCACCACAGGTTACACGTACTCCATGGACATTCACAAACTGAACATGAATACGCTCGAATGGGAAAAATTGTTCGTATCACGTGGGGAACTAGATGAGCCGGAATCTAGGTATATATGTATTCATAATAAATAGTAGTAAATAGTATTATCATGGTTATTATCTTTTTAACATAATGAACAAACTCTTACAATTTAATTTATGTGTTTTCCATCTTCTAATCTACTAGATACCGACATGAAGTAGCTTTTGACGGAGAAAAAATCTTTATCCTTGGCGGGGGTAAGTAGTCAAATAGTCAATGATTTGCTTAAATCAATTGTTACTACATATTATTTTTAAATCAATATGCATTTTTAAAGGTAACTACGCTTGACGAGTAATTACTGTATTAATTATTATTGTTGATTATTGAAAAAAGGAACGGCAGCTCAAGCGTACAATTTGAAGCAAGTTCATGCTTTCGACGTAAAATCTAAACAGTGGAAAGCCCTAGCAACAAAACCCTACAACAATCGGTATCCGGCGGCTCGAAAATGCCAAGGAAGCGTACAAATTGGGGATAGTAAGTAGCAGTCATTGTAACTAAATTTTGGTCTAACTTTGACGAGTTTATGGTATTCATGCAATGTTATTTTATTTGCAGATGTAATCATCAACGGAGGATACGATAGTCGCACGATTTTCAACGATGTCTGGATGCTGCATCTGCCAACTATGAAATGGACTGAATTGATTGTCACGATGCCCGTCCCATTGTACTTTCATTCAACTAGTGTTACTAACGTGAGATGTTTTTTAATTAACAAATATCTTATAAATTACATTAAATGGTTGCTCCTCAGTGATGAAGACATGTTTACTGATTACGTTATCTACAAAATTAATGTTATTACTCCAGTCTGGGTGCATGTACATGTTTGGTGGAGTTGCTGACATGCGTCTCAACACCCGAACAAACCAAGTTTTCAAAATTTGGCTCAAGATACCAAAATTGAAGGAAATATGTTGGGAAGCAGTGCTGCATTACAATAAGAAGCTCCGCTCGATGAGTCATTCCGAACTGCTGAAGATGGGAATTCCGCAAGAATTTGTAAACCTTGTCCACCCTGCTCCTCCTGAAGGTCCCTCCACCAGTCGACACTGGATTTCAAACCTCATGCAGTTACCTGAGTCTGGTAGTGGAAAGATGGCGGACATGGAAATTGAACCTGCTTCGGTCGCAATTGGCTATTGATAACCCGTATTTACTAGAAAAATCCCCACGCCCAAGCCTCACGTATCATCTAAATTGTTGTCATGTAACGTACGCAGATACGAATGATTAAGTAGAATTTCACAGTTAAACAGTACCAATCTCCACAAGAACTGCAAGAAATGTTGCTTGCTCAGCCTTTATCGCATACTGAAACAAGTACTCCATCTTATATTTATAAGTGATAATATACTAGCTCAGCTCAAAGTACTAGATTTTCCCATCAAAATTATTCGCATAAACTATATCTCTATTTATATGCATGTATATCCCATCTGGCTATGGAAATTACTGGGCTGACTACAGTATACTACGGTGTGAACTAAAAATTTGTATCAATTGTAATAATTAGATCTTTTAAGTGCAATTTTAGTAAATTGAATAACGTATCAAATTATTAGTATTATTATATTATTGTATTTTGAGTATAATCAAAATATACAAATAATATGTTGTGCCCAAGGTTTGTAAAAGTTTTAATGTTGTATTCTTTTTGATGTAATGCGATGATGTATTATTTATTTATTTATCAACAGCATGGATCTGGAATGCTTATAGTATCATAATTATCAATTTATTAGACTGTAGTTAAGCTTTATTGGATCTCGAATTGAAGTAGGTAATTACTATATTTCGATTCCAGATTGCTTAAATTTCAAAATAGCAGTAGTAGTACGGCAAACGTTGCCCACACTAATTAATTATAGTTTCTCCTCAGACGAACTTAATTATTTAATTAAATATAATTGATAATGTTGTTTGGACATGAATTCCCAGGAGTATTCCGTACTGTAAATTCAGAAAGCTTGTTCCTATCCGTTTCTCAGCTCTTCTATAGTTCTTACAAAAAAAAGATACTCCAGTTTCTTAATGAGCGCACTAGCTTATTTCACGGCTGCTAAGCTTTGACATTGTTATGACTTTAACGATTATAAAATGTATTCTTGCAACTTAACTTGCAAGTCTTGAAAGTTTCTGTACTTTTGGTGCAATAATGGATAACTTAGCACTTACTTGTTAGTGACAATTTATTGAATGATGGGAAAACTATTTTGTTATGAACTATGGAAAAACTGAACACGGAAAAGGCGTCGCAAATGGGAGCAAGTCTCGACTGACTGCAATTAAAACGTGAGTGTGAGTGTTCATAGTTTACTTTACGAAAATAATCAAATAACTTTATATATATCATATAACCGCAAGATCTGTATAAAATTTGACGTTTTCAAATGATTAAAATAAATAAAACTTGAACGATTGTCCATCAAGAGTGTCCATCATGCACGCCAAATACTGCCTCAAGCAAACAACTATGACTACTACCAGTACTGTTGAACCAACTTGTGGTAACGTAGTTAATAAAGAACTACTACATATATATATGCATTTAGCTTAGCATTATTATATCCATCACCAGTAACAGATGTGATTTTTCCAGATATTAGTGTTTTTTGCAAAGTTGCATTTTCTGCCCGAGTATTTATATATATGCAAATATTTAATTTTTAAAAAACTTTGAGTTTTCTAAAATCCTGACATGGGTGCTAACTTAAGTGCAGACGAAGAGAAAAGCAGCAACATTTGCATCACCGAACCGTAAGAAACAAACTAGTGTCAGACAAGCGTCGCATTTTTATATCCATCTTCAGTGGCTTGGATAGTACATTCATATAATGCAAAATGACGGAGTGAATTTGTGGCATCATTAATTAATAAATAGCATAGAACTTATTTATTTAGTCAAAGATATTTCCAATGTGAATTTGAAACCTACGCACATGTGCGTTTATCCTTCATTTTCCGTTTATGTACATATGCAAAAACTGGAAAAGGAGACAAAATTATTGTGAAGAGCAAATTTTGTACCACGACAAGTAAGTCTGTAATACTTGAACACGGCTCCAGAATGGATTTTCTTAGAAACGAAGAATAGGACGAGACAACTATGTAATGGGAGATTAAAAATGGGAGTGAAACAATCTGCGCGACTGATTATGTATCTTGTGAACGTAACTGCGTTGTGGTTGGATAAATTGCATGACCCAAGTAATTAACGCCTACTCCACCAAAGTAAAAATAAAAATAATGAGTGTCAGCAATATCACCGTTGTACGTATAATAAATATTTGGTTACATATAACTCGTATTTGCATCCAAGTCCAGTATCCCGTCTGTGCATGCATGTAAAAAATGCAGGTCCTCGCCGTGGATTGTTGTTCATATATTCTAGTTAGACAGTTAAACTAACTATAATTAACTTCACAACAGTCTAGCCTGATTTATTATACTTTGTACGGCATACTGGTTAACGTACATACATATTCTTGCGATTTTTTGTGGGCAGGATCCAGGCAAGGGAGTGGGTCTGCAATATGGTCTATATTTCTGTCACTCTTTCATGCAACATGCACAATTGGCATGGTCAACTGACACGAGAAACGTTTTGTGATTGATAAGAATTAGTGCCGTCATTGATCACTCTCTATCTCAATTTTGAGTTATCTGCAACGTGTTCACTCGGCACATTCGCACAATCTGCCGCATAACACAATTTGCCCTGAGACGAAGAAGTACTATCCAGCCAGACAAGTAGGTACATACAAAAGTGAGACAATTATGGTACCTGTAATTTGTAGGGGTGGAGAGCCCATCGGGAGTAACAATTCCATCACGTTTATGATCAATGGAAATCCATACACTGGTAATTACAACAATATCAACTTTAGAAATTGAAAAATGAGAAACTTAAAAAGCGTTTGCTAATCGTAATTAGTTATGTAATAATCAAATGAAAAATGCTTTATCCTTCAACATCATAGTCCACCCTGCGTCGGACAATTTAGGTCCTCACGACCGACTCGTGGACTTCATTCGCGACAAGGCGGGCCTTCGTGGGACTAAAAGCATGTGTCGAGAAGGAGGATGTGGGGCATGCATCGTAAGCTTAAAGACGGTAAACGCTACCGGGGACACTGTGGTTCGCGCTGCAAATTCAGTAGGTTCATTTACATACTAAACAATTCAGTATAGCACATCACCAATGTTTGAAACTTTAAGTTAAAGCTTGCATTTGAACATTTTTAAATTACTGCTTAATTAAATGCAGTGCCTCATCCCGACCTTAAGCTGTGATGGTTGGGATATTACCACGGTGGAGAACATTGGGAATGCCCAGGAAGGATATCATGAGATACAGAAACGCCTAGCCAACTTTGGAGGAACGCAGTGTGGATTCTGTACCGGAGGAGTAATTATGAACATGTACAGGTGGGTGTGCACGAAGGTTTTAAATACCATGAAGACTAAGATGCTATTTAGTACCAAAAAACATAAAATGAGAGAGCTTGATTTATATTTCAGCCTGATGGAGTCCAAGAAAATTCTGAAAGCCAAACATATTGAAAACGGCTTTGATGGAAACATTTGCCGTTGTACCGGCTACCGACCTATCCTCGACGCTTTCAAGTCCTTAGCATCCGACGCTCCGGAGGAACTGTTAAGAAAATGTGAGGCAATGGATATTGAGGTCAGTTCACTTATAAAAATTAAACATCGGTGAAATACATGGGACAAATGGCAATGACATTAATTACTGAATAAAATTATAGGAACTTGGAGTCCAGTGTTCACTTCGGAAACAAGAGTCTGAAACCCAATGCACCCACACGAATGGATCACCTGCTAAGCAGTGCGACGTTCTGCTCAGTATACCGACTGGAGAAGAATGGGTGAAAGTGACGACTATCGAGAAGGCTTTTGAAGCTTTAGAGAACTTTAAGCAGGCTGGTAAAATTGCCAGAATTGTGGCCGGGAACACAGGATCAGGAGTTTTCAAAGACGACATGAAACAATTCAAAGCATTCGTCGACATTGGAAACACTGAAGGACTGAAAACTGTGGAAGTTGGACCTGGAAATTTAGTTCTTGGAGGATGTGTAACACTGACTCGTGCCATCATTGCATTAAAACAGGCTGCCAAAGTGTCTGGATTTGAATACGCATTACCCTTGAGCAAACATATTCAGAGGATTGCAAATGTAGCAGTTCGCAATGTAAGATTTAAATATATCTATTAAAGTAGGGAAATGACCAGTACTGTCTCACACTCGAAAATTTTAAATAGGTTGGAACTTTAGCTGGGAATCTAATGTTGAAGCGGAATCATCGAGAATTTCCTTCCGATCTGTTCACAATTTTCGAAACTGTTGGTGCACAAATTTCAATTGGTAAGTATATTTGCATAATATTTACATATCCACATGAAACTGCATGGTCTTAAACATGGGGGACATATCTATTTGACAATTTTGGATTTTCAGCTTCGTCGGCAACTTGCTTAGACTTATCCACGTTGACCGAGTTCCTGACTCTAAATATGGAAGGAAAAATAATTGTCTCCATTCATTTTAAGCCATATTCGAAGCAGCATTTTTTTCGATCATTCAAGGTATCCAAGAGCACTCCAAACTCCATATTGCATTAATATATTACACTGTGACCTTGTAATAATTAATGTCATTCGTTGATATAGATCACTCGGCGTTTCCAAAATGCCCATGCATACGTCAATGCTGGATTCTTTATGAACGTTGACAAGACCAATAACAATTTCAAAATTATTGATAAACCACGCATTGTGTTTGGAGGAATAAGCACCGAGTTTGTAAGTTTGTTAACTAATCCGTCTCCTCTTAAGTAGTTATTTATCTACGTGCGTATTATTCATGCAGGCACATGCGAAAAACACGGAATTATTTATCTCCGGAAAATCCCTCAAAGACCAAACTGTCGTGAAAGGTATTATGGACGTTTTGGCACAGGAAGTAAATCCTGATGTCAACCCAGCCGAAGGATCTGTCCAGTACAGGAAGCTTCTCACTCAAACTTTATTATACAAAGTAATATGATTTTATATCTGTCAATTTCTCAAAATTAATTTCCTCGGTAAATTTCGAAAAATAATACTTCCATTAATTTAGTGCATTCTGGACATTATCGGACCTTCCGCCACTCCAGAATTACAATCTGGAGGAAAGAACATTAAGAGAAATCTGACGCATGGGATGCAAACTTATGATACCGACAAATCCACGTGGCCAATAAATAAACCTGTTCTAAAATTGGAATCCCTTCCCCAAGTTTCTGGAACAGCAGAGTACATCAACGACATAAATCCACAATTTGGAGAACTTTTTGGAGCATTTGTTTTGAGCACGGTGGCCAAAGCGGATCTTAAAGGCATTGACCCCTCTGAGGCTTATGTAGGTTCAGCAAATAATTATAGCGGCTTTACTAACAAAGAAATTTTTAAAAGAAAGAAAAACAAAAACAAACAAAGAAAAATTAACAAAGAAATTATTATTAATACTATTCCATAGAAAGTCCCTGGAGTTGTTCGCTTCATCAAAGCCAGTGACATCCCTGGAACCAATAACTACATGATATTCTCCAAATCAGCAGAGGAAGTAATATTATTAACCAATAAGACATGAATAATTAAATTTCATAAAATCTAAAGTGAGGGTTTTGCCCTATACAGGTGTTTGCCACGGATAAAGTTTACTATGCTGGCCAAGCAGTAGGATTAGTCATTGCCGAGACACAGCTTGCTGCATTTGAGGGAGCCAAGAAGGTCAAAGTTGAGTATGGAAATGTGGAAAAGGGCGTTATGAGCATTCGCCAAGGAATTCGTCGTGCAGAAAATGACGGCTCGTACGACAAACTATTTACGACAGTCGTTAAAAGCTCGCAAAGTATGATTATCACATTGCATGCCATAATTTAGGAGAAATATATAGAGCGATTTTAACATTTCAAATCCTCCAAAATATTTCCAGCCAGTGACAAAGCTTCAAAGCAAACACTCAAGGGAGAGTTCGCCATCGGAGCTCAGTACCACTTTCAGATGGAAACTCAGATAGCAATTTGTCATCCTCGCGAAGATGGGATGGATGTCTACTCTTCGACACAATGGATTGACCTGATCCAAGCATCCGTGGCGTCTGCACTAAAAATCCAAAATAATGAGTAATGAGCATTTGGAAAGCAAATTCCATCGTTTCCGTAATTTTAGAAAAGTTCCTAATAATCTCAATTCTTTTACAGAGTCAACATTCAGGTGAGACGATTGGGTGGTGCGTTTGGGAGCAAAATCACTCGTTGCAGTCAAATAGCGACAGCCTGCGCGGTGGCTGCGCAGGTTGTTAATCGTCCTGTGAGAGTCGCCCTGGATTTAGAAACTAACATGAAAATGATCGGCAAGAGGAATCCATATTTAATGAAATATGAGATGGAAGTTGACGACAAGGGACAAATCCTTAGTTTAAAGGGGAAAATATTTAGTGACCCTGGCATGTCTGCTAATGAGGAGACAGCAGAAGCTGGGATCTCATTTTTTCAATCAATGTACCGAGCAATCGGTTGGGAACTCGAGCCTGTAAATATCATTACATCGACCGCACCCAACACCTGGTGCCGAGCCCCAGGGTCAACTCCAGGGATTGCTTTGGTTGAAAACTTGATGGAACATATTGCATTCCAATTGAAGTTGGACCCACTGGAGGTATTTGAATACATCAATTAATCGATATGTGTAGAATACAAACGAGTAGAATGTCTTCAATAACATGAGACTTTTCGTGCATATCAATTTTTAAGGTCCGGCTTGCTAACATGATCACGTCTGGAGACAAATTGATTTCTACATGCGAAGTCGAAGGAACGATGGAGGGAGACAACTTAATTCCCAGAATGCTTGAAGAAATAAAAACTTCTGGCAGTATGGAAGAGAGGAAGAAATTTATTGCAGATTTTAATAAGGTTAATTATTTACAATAAGCTTTATTGGCTTTATGTTTCTTAAAGTGGATCTGTCTCGACTCTCGTGAATAAGTGTTAATTAATTCATGTTATAGTCAAATCGTTGGCGAAAGCGAGGAATGGCCATTGTTCCGATGAGATATCCGCTTGAATATTTTGGCGACATGAAGTATCCTGCTTATGTAGCAATTTACAAGAATGATGGCACTGTTGTAGTCTCGCATGGGGGTATGGTCCGAATTTACACACATTTTGCGCAATTTACAGCTCAGTTAAATTCTTTTTTTCTTAATACAGGTATTGAATCTGGCCAAGGAATTAATACCAAGGTGCCAAATATATGCCAAATATATATATTTTTTTAGAAAAATCAAGATTGCTTAAAAATCGTTTTTATTTTTTTATTTTTATTTCACAGGTAGCCCAAGCGGTGGCATTGGAATTGGACATTCCAATGGAGAAAATACGAATCAAGCCCACTTACAATTTTGTGACTCCAAACTCCAGTACCACTGGAGGTTCCATCACTAGTGAGCTGTGTTGCTTTGTAAGAAAAAAAATTCTCCAATATTTTTCATAAATGATTATTAAATTTACTAAAATGGATTATTTTAGTCTGCTCAACAAGCTTGCAAGGAGCTTAAAGCTAGAATGGCTCCAATAAAAGAAAAGTTTAAACCGAAAACATGGCAAGAATTGGTTACACTCTGTAACAAAAATCATGTCCATCTCAGTGCGTCATACATGTAAGTGTTGAATCGTTTAATGTATTAGACGAGTGACACTTTTCATCCTAACTCTTAATTTTTATGGCTAAATTTGTACGGTGGCTTAATTTTCTTACAGGCCAAGCCCGAAAGATAACCTCAAAGAGTACCACATTTGGGTCGTGAATTTAACTGAGGTTGAAATTGACGTGTTGACTGGAGAATACAAGGTAAATAGCCAATAAAGCCATAATCCTTCCAGTAATATGTGTAATATACAACTTGGAGCCCCCTTTATCACTCACAGATTGTACGAGTGGACATTGTTGAAGACGCAGGAAACAGCTTGAATCCTGCAATTGACGTGGGACAAGTGGAAGGTGCTCTAATCATGGGAATTGGATATTGGACAACGGAGAAACTAATTTATGACGACGAAACAGGTCAACTTTTGAGCAACGGAACTTGGGTAGGTCAATTAAATTATATATAAAGTTGTCGTTAATGGATTTTTAAAATATGCATCTCACGGACAGCTCTACAAACCTCCTTTGCCAAAAGACATACCTGAAGATATGAGAATTACTCTTTTAAAAAATGCACCAAACCCCATTGGGATTTTGCGATCAAAAGGCAAATTATTATTTTTAAAACGAATTAAAGGATATAATATGTACATATAAATTAGAGTTATGGTAGTACTAATTTTAAAATGTTTGCCAATTTAGCCACCGGTGAACCACCTCAATGTTCGGCGGTTGCAGTATTATTCGCAGTAATTATTTTATTATTATTACTAATATTACTCCTAGTTAGATAATTATTAAATATATTATTATTTCCAGCTAAAAAATGCTATCTATGCTGCTCGACAAGATGCAGGTCACGATGAGTGGTTTGAACTAGGTAAGTAGTGTGCCAAGTAAATTACTTAAAATTCTGATAAATTTTTAATAAATATGTCAAAATTGTAAATCTGCAGACGGGCCGGTTACTGTAGAAGACGTTTTGGTCAATTGCTTAACTTCATCAAGTCAGTTTAAGCTGTAATAATTTTCTTTCATGTAAATCAATATAAACAAATATTAATAAAAGAGACTTTTAAGTATTTGAAGCATTAATTCCTTATGAAAATAAGCATACAAGTTAGGAGTTTCCATAAAGTATGCTGAAATAAAGTGAAGTATGCATCGGATAATCAATCCAGTGAGAATATTACTTAGGAACTCGTAACCTATATAAATACATTTCAATTATTCGTTAAATTGCCCGTCAATATCAATCACACATAGGAGTCAGCATATAAAACTCGACATTTGACCGTGGGAACAATACTCAGGATTGTGGGAACGCGTCCCGACAACTGTTTAAAAGTGGGCGACTCATGGTAAGGAACCATCATTTCGCTCTGAGACTTCGACAATGCAGGAAGTTGTACTTTCTCAACTCGAAAGCTACCACGATGTCATCCCGCAAAAGACCCTATGGAGCACTTGTCGTAGTTAGGGATGCAATTCTCCGATGTCTCCGCCAATCGCACCCGGGCAAGACGTTTAATCCGGATACTGTAGTGAGAACGGAAGAATTTGCAAATGAGCAGCTGGGTCCGCCATCGAATTCGTCATGAAACGACCGCAGAATTCTGTTTGGTGACACTACTCCGACCGATGACAGCAAATTTCGATGTTCCCACTGCAGCAGATACTTTAAAAATGTTATCGCTTTGAATAATTCGCACTACCAGGCAGAATCCAGTCTACAAGTTTCCAGTGCACAAGATCCCAGAACAATTCCAAGAGCTTGTTCGTATTCTTATCTACTTCGACCAGAACATAAGAAGCTCCATCCTGATAGAGCTTTCGGACTTGGCTTCTTTGGAGATTTGTGGATGGCAGATCAGCTAAAATGGAATGTGCGCCTCGAAACTCCCTCATCAGAACACACCCTCTCTACTCACGTCGCCAGAGATGTGCTTCGTTCCTATTTACCATTCATTCGGGATGTTGTAAGCAAATTCCACACTTAAATGGGACTCGAGTACATGAACGAATTGAAGAAACAAGTGGGACAATTGACCCTTGAGAATGCATCTCTTAGAACGAAAATTCGGATGCATGAAAAACACGTCGACAACCCTGAAGATGAAGCAGATTTTTGATTAATTTAATTAATTTAAAAGTAATGAATAAAAAATTAATTTAATAGTATTAATTTTAAAATGTTTGCCATTTAGCTACCGGGGAACCACCTCAATGTTCTGCGGTTGCAGTATTATTCGCAGTAATTATTTTATTATTACCAGTATTATTATTATTTAGATAATTATTAAATATATTATTATTTCCAGCTAAAAAATGCTATCTATGCTGCTCGACAAGATGCAGGTCACGATGAGTGGTTTGAACTGGGTAAGTAGTGTGCCAAGTAAATTACTTAAAATTCTGATAAATTTTAAATAAATGTCAAAATTGTAAATCTGCAGACGGGCCGGTTACTGTAGAAGACGTTTTGGTCAATTGCTTAACTTCATCAAGTCAGTTTAAGCTGTAATAATTTTCTTTCATGTAAATCAATATAAACAAATATTAATAAAAGAGACTTTTAAGTATTTGAAGCATTAATTCCTTATAAAAATATGCATACAAGTTAGGAGTTTCCATAAAGATAAAGTGAGGTATGCACAGGATAATCAATCCATTGAGAATATTACTTATTATTTACTAAGTAGGCGCATATTGTGTTCGATATCATAATAACATGGACATAAAATTGTGTTTTAACAATGGGACAAAACACAATCAACCTTTGTGAAAATGCTAACTGAAAGGAACTCGAAACCTATATAAATACATTTCAATTATTCGTTGAATTGCCCTTCAATATCAATCACACATAGGAGTCAACATAGAAAATTCGGCATTTGACCGCACAACTGTTGTCACCGATTTTTATCATCAAATTAGAGGTTTGCATATGTCGGGTAGGGTAACTGACGGTCTGTCACTGGTTCATGTCATACATGTAGTTTTACACCTTTGCATATTGGATTAGCTGAAATATATAACCAGCAGTATCAGCGGGGGCGGAACATTGTTTGAGACAAAGCTAGCAGTGCATTTCCCTTTTTGATGAATGTATCAAAAAGTTGTAAGATACTCACAACTTTCAGTTATTCAGGTCTCATGCGCCACCCACAAGAGGTTCGAGCAAAAATAAAATACTGGCAGCAGATGTGCAAGAGGATAACTAATCGCGAGTAACTAAATATCTCACCCAACCAACTGCACATTTCTTTTCGCTACAGTCGTCTTGCTTCTTAAACGTAACAGTTTTTGCAGAAGAATAATAATAATGACAGCGATGCCAAGCCAAGCTGTTTCGTCCGATGAGAGCTACAACGTACTGAACTCATTTTCTCGGTTTCCGTTTACTTTTAGGTTTTATTGCTTTCGCAAGCACGGGATTGGAGTGGAACATATGTCTTCAACCGGGTAGAGTAGTACTACATTCGTGTATTTCGGCAGTAGTAGAGTAGCAACTTACTTATCATCCACTACTTTGCAAGATATGGGAGAAATCGGGAGATGCCCGAGTCAGTCAGTCAGTGGGTTCCTAGGTCGGGTTGAAGGCGGTCGGCGATTCTTCTCTCCTCGGTTCCATTATCTGCCAACGCCAGTATAAATATCAACATTTGAATTCTTATCTTCCTCCCTGAGTAGCACAATCAAAACAATACAACAATATATCGGTGCAGCATTATTTCGTCGCTTACCCAAGCCAAACCCACGCCTCCGTTTTCACTATCTAAATACATAGGTTCAGAAGTTTGATACCATTTTTGAGCCAGGCAGTTTACTAACAGCGTCCAAAGTGTTAGAATCTCTTGGTGCTCTTTTCTCACTCGTGCTAAAACAACTAACCAGCAGAGAAGAGACTGGACCATTGCTGCATACATAGTCAAATTCACTCGCTCGCGTTGGAGTGGCATATTGCTGAAACACTGCTGACAAGTGGTGATGGTATAAATAGCGAATAATTTGCAACAACAGTCACACACCTTCAACAACGCACTACCGGCTAATACTTAACGAAGCCTTTGCTGGACAACTTTTTGCAACTGGATATTTTTGGGATTGGAAGTGTCTCACTCGCAATCAGTTCAACGGGATCGTCTCATTTTCCCAGTGATTAACTAAAGCAACCAATCAACCTTTCAAGTCTTCGTAGAATAATTAATAAACTTCAGTCGTGTTAATGGCAAGCTTCCTGCACAAATCTAAGGAGCAAATTGGTAAGTGTGAGACTTTTCTAAAACTTGTATTGCATGCATATTTATAACGATTTAAGTATAGCTTTCGTGGAATTGAAAAATGACTCGTCAATAATGTCAATGTCGGTTCAGAAGTCATCATGTAGCCAATTATCGTCCAATTTCATCACGACAAATAGCAATGTCACTATTGACAAATTACCCCTCTTGTTAGGGAAAGTCAGTCGTGGCCGAACTCTGGGAGAAGCTATTAAATTGTCCCGAACACATAGTAGCAAGTTACTGTTAGGTTGATGTATATTATGTCGATTGTCTGGCATGCCTATTAATGCATACGTCTCACGCAAGCCACATATATTGTAATTACCAACGAACATCCAGAACGAATTGATTACACTTGACATTCAATCAATTCCTGAAAGTAAACCGAGTCGGGTATTCATTCATTCTGCTTGGACGAAGGTCGCATTGCTTCGCTAAGCTAACAGTTTCCACTAGCATTTAATAAGATTGACATTCACTCACTCACTCTTTCTCTCATCCTGGCCGAGAAAGTCGTGAATACTTGGGAGAGTAATAATGAATAGATACATACTTAGCTACCCATCCGTTATATCAGTAGCGTGGCATCAATAGGCTCGGTTGTTCGCTAACTATCTCCGTTTGAATGGCGAGGTTTTGCATAAACTGTTGTATAATTTTCGGTTTCAAAGTCTTGTCTGGGATTTCTCTTTGCCAACAACTGCAATTTCGACGTCATCACGGATAAGTATATAGTTCATGCCGTTAATTTAGCCATGCACAACCTTGTTCCATATCAGCAATGATTGTTCCCAACTATATGCATGCATAGACGGGTGGGAGAGTACCTAAATATAAGCGTTCTCCAATCTTGGGCCGTCACCGTCTAACGTCGGTCGGTAGAGAGAAGCGTTGCGGGTGTGGGAGCAGGAAGGATCGATGCACAGTTCGGGGTCTGAGAGGAGAAAGTCGTTCTTGGAGTTTTGCTACTTATATGTGGATCCCTAAGCTCAAAGGTTGTACGTATTTATACACCAGACGAGCATGTTGGTCTTTTACACATATTGTGAGCATTATATTTCTTGGTGATGGAATTTCTGCAGCCAAAATTATGTTAGAAAGCGGTCGAAATTCAATTCAAACTTATCACAATTAAATAAAATTATGCAAAAGTTGGAGGAGGTTTAGTTCAGGCCCTGAATTTCAGGGTCCATCCAAATCTACAGTAGTAGAGCCTCTCCCTGTCACTCCAATTCTGGTCTTCAATTTCTTTTTTTAAATATTTTCAATTTCGACTTGAAAAATTATCCCATCTTTTATTCTTCATTCAAATAAACTTCTTGGCCTCACACAACAAATCATTGATTATGTAATTTCGTTCAAGGTGAGATGCACGTATAAAAAAGTTTGCAACAAGATATGCAATTGTTTTTTTTGTGAGTCAGTCAGTTTGTGCATGAATGAAGTTTCGTCCTGATGCAACTTTTTCTTTCATAAATTTCGTGTTTGTCTCCCCAACTTATAGGACAAACAAAGGTCTATAGTGCATATATGTAGGTCTTCACAGAAGTCATAATTCGGTTCTGGAAATTCTTGGGTAAATGACGTCACGAGCTTGTGTCAGTTCACTCCCACGAGCACGTGCTTTCTCGGTCTATAAACTCTAAAGGATAGGGTAAAGAGTACATGTACTTCCTACTACACAAGTATATGTACTCATGTAGCTGACATAATTCTGGAAAATATTACAATTTCCGCCAAACTATAAAAGTTCGTTGGGTTCATCGTGTAGTTTAACTTGTTCATGTGCTATTTATTCAATTCTTGCTAATTACTTGCCATACACAGGTGTATTACATAGTTTGTAACGTCATTTTTACCCATGTGGGTATGTGTCATGCCGAGAAGAATTACATAACGCGAACCGAAAGTTTTTTGCGTCACAGGTACATTTAACGCTAAAAATGATGCAATGTGAGACTAAAAAACCGTGGATTGAAACAAACCCATCGTCTGCAATCTTGTGACATGATTTGTTAGTTGCAATTTACATGGGCATACTTTGCCTCTGGTTGGTTCGGTTTATTTTACAAAGCATATGAAATGAATGACTTCACCCGGCTCCGGATTCGATCTGGTGTTTGCCGGATTGACGTAATTCTGCAAGTGCACATTGTATATATTTATGTAGTTGTTTCAGTACAGTCTTGGACTGATGATAGTAGGTAAACACAAGGAAAACGATAGTATAGTACTTACAGTAATAATTTGGCAGTGTTTCTGCGAGTTCAAGGATGATCATTAGCCAGATTTTTGTACCAGACTTTTAATAATCATATGAATATGAATGGCTTCTCGCACACCCACAAAAACTATCGTAAAATATCATGTTTATGGTTGTTATAAGGTTTAAGTGGACGAGTTGATTATGAATTTCTGCCTCGTGCACTAAAACAAACCATCATCATAGATTCGCATACTTATTTAAATATGTATAAATGTATATATGTGCATAGCTGTTGTCAATACGCATAAAAATATAACCCCGTGATGGAACATAAGATTTTATGCTCGTAAATACATAAATGTTTCCAAACTGGTTTTGAATGAGGGCTCGGAAAGCATGTAATCGGTTTATGATACATAAAGAAATAATTATTCACAAATAAATAGTTAAACTGCCGGAAAGCCCTGCTACTATTTAAATATAAGGTTTTTTTAATTCTTGAGAATTAAGTATTTCATACATATATCTACAAGTTTTAAAGAATAAATTAATGAATTAAAGTTCGAATCCCGACTCAAAACCTTAGTTTTTACCCTTGTTACGAATATTGAGGACCTTGGAACTATTTCACTCTACTTTTGTTTGTATTGTTATATATTCTCCAACGTAAAAAATTTTACTACCGGTTGAAGGTCAGTCGACGACGAGGAGCATCCTGCAGCTTTATACTTTCTGGTTCCACTTTATGAGTCCATCCATCTATATTCGTTCTTAAAAACTGAACTTATTAATGCTTGGCAAACTTATTTCATGGAAAACCCGAACGTTGAAAAAGTAGCGTCATCGGATACTGGATGTGGTCAGTACTTACTGATAATTATGCGAGTCAGTTACACAACAAATTATGTAATTTTGCAGTTATTATACGAGTTCATGGCTAGAATTTAGAACTGAATCGTGTTTCAAATTTCAACTCGAATAAGAAGTACGTACGTATAAAGTGGGCTTGTCACATGTTGTTTATCGTTACTTTAAATGAATGCAGACATGAAAAAGTGGCAAATGGTTCAACGTCAGAATGTCTTGTGATAAAAAATTATTCAAATTTATTTAATTATTCCAAAAAGTACATTTCCTTAATTTTGGGCCGTAACAATTAGCAAATTCTAAAATAGAGAAAATTATCAGGGAAAAGAACCACATAAACATTGACATTTTTCTCATGTTGTCTGGTCAATGTCATTATCGTTCAGTGATAAGGAGGCGGATAGAGATTCTTTCTGGGTTTACATATTTCCGCAGTTGTTTGCTCGTGTGTATTTTGTCTCCATTTCACTCGTAACCAGACCACCACCGATTTGAAATTAAATGAGACAGAGATCGAGGTCGACAATTCAATTAAATCCAATAGCGCATGCGGTGCAATCCGCCGGCACACACAACTGCACAAATTCACACTTGTTCTGTTTAATTTTGGCATTTACTACGGAATTCCAAGTGCATTTAGTAAACCCAGTTTTGGCCAGACTCCAATTACTTACGTAATGTGCTCTGTCTTTTCGCACGCACCAGAAGAATTTAGAAAACAAGTGCATGAGGAAATAATGTATGCAAATATTGGATACCGGTTTATGTAGGAATTTTTTCCCAGAGTGGTTCCGGTATATAAATATTTTCTTGTAAGGGTTCCCTGGACTTTGTACCTGTTGTAATAAGACCATACTGCTTGACAAATTAGTTGGTGGGTAGATTTGTAGCATGAAAGTAGTCGTATGAAACGAAACCTTGACCGCTTTAACAGGAGACAAAGAAGAAGAGATGGAAGCAACTCCAGCCAGACAGACAGACCTTCTTCTCCTTCCTGAACATGAACTTGCCTAAGTTGTCAGTTGCATGCTAACCGAAACCGAATCATACCGTGGCTGAGGGACATAACAGGTTTTCTGGTTCCTTATTCAACTTTAGTGCATAATTCCGGACTCAGGGAACTCATCAGCAGCCGACCTTTAGTTTGACTACTAAACTCCTTTTGTGTCTAATAATATACAAAACCACTAAACCAGCATCGTAATTAAAACTTCCTCCGCATAATAATAATAATGAGTTTCATATAGTGCATCCATTGGGCCAGACACGGTCGGTCGGTTGGTTGTTCTGTCGGGACGCTTGTGATCATGCAATTCTTACATTACGTAAATTAGAGCGAAAACTAATTATATATTTTGACTCGAGTTGCAAGATTTTTTCAACAGTTTGCTTAACGGTCCAGTTCTGGGCAGATCAAAAAGGTTGCTGACTACAATGTAAAAAGTGATAATACAGTGCACTCTCTTAAATATTTACATACTGAGGAGGATAAGAACACGATCTTCCAATTTTCTGGGACAGTGTCAACTCTGCTAGCTCATTATCTACTTTTGTTCTCTTTAAAGTTTAACGTAAAACTGTACGCATTTACTGCACAGAAGACGAGTAATATAAAAATAAGGGGGTCGAACAGTAGAGTTATTATTTTATAACGTCCTGCACTGAAAATCTGTGGATAATCCAATGCTTCCGGAGGACGGAAAGGAAAAGGAAGCTACATTCCGACTCTGGAATCCATCAGAGTTTGACATCCTCTCCGGTATTTTTTTGCCTTATTAAACCAAAACATTGCAAAATAGTTGAAGGTTAAACGTGTTATTCTTTTCAGTCAAAAGCATTTAAATATATTTGATATCATCATCAGTACAGTGATATAAATTGGAACTTAGGTATTTGAGGCGATAATCAGAAGGATTACTGTGAGGATCTGTACTCACTTTTTGCATTGATGGATGGATGGGATTTTTCAGCCCTTTTCATGTTGACAATTTGTCAAAACATTTTTGTGAAACTTGACTGTGTTCGTATTTATCTCAAATAATTTAACTCGTTCATTTGCATAATATGTACGTGGCGTGTATGCTGCGTATATAAACATGGCTCATTATCCATTCACCAACTATAACCTATCCCAACTAATTCATTACCGTCGTTGCAAAAATGTTGTCCGAGTCTGGCTCCTCTCTGGTGGTGGTAGTAAATAAGTCCAAGTATTAATGAAGTAAAAGGAAGGATCTCGAAATGTAAATTTCCAGCCTAACCGAGTAGAATCTGTGAAGTATGTAAAGCAGATTATGAAACCAGCAGCAACCCACTCGATGTTTACAATCTTTTTTCGTCTAGGGCATAATTTGTAATCTTTGGCATCACTAATGAGAGAGATAAGCATCATGTATATCCGTCGGACGCATAATGTTGAGCATGCATATTAGCGTAGGTCATATGGTACATTGAATTAGTGTGTTTAGAACTTGAGAACCGGTTTTTGGTTTCTGGAAAAAACGGAAGGGTAATAAAATTGGTACAATTGCAAAAAAGTTATGAGTGAACAACTTTGTTTTATTCTGAGATACGCATCCATCCAACTTACTTATGTAACATCGCATTGTAGTAAAATAAGTAAGTCGCCATATTAAGAGTTGACAATATTTTATGTTATTCTAATCCTCATAAATCACATAGTGGCGAAACTGATGAACTCGGTGGGGTAAAAAGTTCACGAGTTTTGGTGGGAATTTTGAATTTTTTGCAAAAAACTGCAAATATCATCTTGAGTTGTTTATGTTTTTAGTGGGTTCCAATGGGAAGAGTATGTGTGGTGGTGGCTTCCCGCCACACATACTCTATGACGAGTTGAGACGAATCAGGAAAAATTGCAAAGTGTTTATCTTGTAGTTCGAAAACCGAGATTAAATGTACACTCAAAAATGTGAAGTATGTTGGATTATAACTAGCAGTTGTTGCACAACAAGGGAGCATGCCCTTTAAGGAATTGATATGCTACTTGTATTTATATTAATCGACGAATGTCAAGTTTCGTCTAAATTTTGCTTTCCTCGAGATTCGATGATTAATATAAATACAAGTAGCATATCAATTCCTTAAAGGGCATGCTCCCTTGTTGTGCAACAACTGCTAGTTATAATCCAACATACTTCACATTTTTGAGTGTACATTTAATCTCGGTTTTCGAATTACAAGATCAAAAACCTGTGCAAAAAATAATGCATGGGGTAACATACGGGAGAAATATTGAGCGAGAGACTGTATTGGCTGATAGAGCGGCCAGAGCAAACTATTACGCCCCGTTAAGTGCTGGAAATAAATGGACAATCAAAATATTGCAAAATAACTGAAGTGCTCATAAAATCGCTAGGCTAGATGTTCCTGGTAGATATTTTATAGGCACATACATTTTATAGTATTCTGCAATAAAAATACTTCACACAACTGCTGGTTGAAATTTCTAATTTGATAATGTTGCTGGAGAAACACGCCACCTTTGTTATCCTGTCCAGTCAAGGTTGATTCTTTTAGCGTACAGTGAAAGATTCGATTTACGACCTGTGTGGTGAGGCACTTTTGCACTCAAGTTTTCCCAACTAATTAACAACTCGAGTGGTTTTACATGACTTTTTTTAGCAAATTTTAAATCATTAAAGAAATAATATACGATGTTCAGTAGCATAATATGCATTATCATGAATTGATAATTGGATACATTTGTTTCCAGAATAGGATTTTTGGCTGTTAATTTAAATAGATTTTCGTGTCTCAATATTTTGTTTGTTGAACCAGTCACGATTTTTGTTGGCAAATGATTAAATCGACTTTGTCCCAACACCTTGGCATGAATTTGGTCTCCTCGTTCGTCGTATGTACATAAATACATTCGCGTGGTGTGATAAAACTCCAATGTTCCATCTCATTGTTTCTTTTCTTTCATTAGTTCAAGATTTTACATGGATGCATGCGAGTCCCACACAAAAGTAATAATTTGTTTGACACCCGGCCGACAAAAATGTGCCTGGCTGCAAATTAAGTTGTGAGTGTGCCAATTTTCATGTTTAATTCGAGTACTTTTGTTACAAAGTATTAAATGTAAATAAACATTAGAGTAGAGATACATAGATAAACCGAGTAAATACGAAGTGCAAGGTTTGGGTTTATCCTGGCATATGAACAGATTAAATGCTGGACTATTCGACGACGGCGACGACTCGTCATGTTCAGCTCAGGAATTATTTTTCGTCCATAGATAAATAATACAGTTTATGAGGCTCAGCCGTCATATCGTGCTGACAAGATTATCATAATCTCTCTCTCTCTCTCATCCAAAGTAAAAACTATGTTTCATCGAACAACTCGAAAATTGTATTTATGTCACTAGTGGAATTTTACAATGTGGATGGTTAGTGATACTCATGCATGTTGATGCTAAACACGTATTATGTAAATATGTAAACTCTTTAGAGAATTCAATTCAATCCAGAATTCCACATCCCGCTGGTTCTAATGAACTGGCTGATAAGTTACGATTGACATGTTCACAATAAAGCCGGGTAATAAAATTGCAAACTTTGTATGATTGGCTGGAAGTGGGGGCAGGGGTAATAAAAATAATGTAGTTTAGCAAAAACTCGTACTCGGTAAACTTAACCTTCTACGTCGCAGAAAAGGCTGGCTGCATATATGTAACTGCCGCATTGCGTAAGAACGCAATTGGTATTATTGTAATACATACAAAGCCAAAGTCAAGGCGAGTCAAAATCAGCACGAAGGTTGGGTGGAAGTCATGGTCATAAAAGGTGTTGTTTGAGCGTCGTAAATTTGGTATGCAAAAGTTTATGACTTTATATTTCTGCACGGTGACCATGATATTGAGTAAGGGGGATGAACTACTGGCGCCTCGCGAAGTCTTGTAGCACGACCAGGATTAAAAATTAAGTACTTATTATCTGGAGTTTGTAGTAAATAAATACAAACACAATATTAAGATATCAAATGGGGGTCAAACTTATTGCCCCCTGATAAACCAATGTAATGTGATATATTCATGAATATGTAATCGTAGTCTTATCAAAGTATGATGACCCATGACACTAATGACTGCTTTAATGAAACACTTTTTTATCAATGCAGGTGCAGCACAAAAAATTGGGGAACTTCGACAGAATCCTGCGGACGATGTCTGGAAGGAGCAAGTGGACTTCAAAGTGACTCGAGGTCAATGTTGGCATGGTAGGTACATCGTTTTTAGGAATATGTAAAAATTATTGACATTACAGTTGCATTTTGTTTCATGCAGTGGTTTTCGCCCCGGATGAATCTTATTTCGCCTGGATTTCTGCCCCAAGAAAGCTGCTACTTGTACCCTGGGACCGAGAACGTAATTGCATGTAAGTCATTGTCTTCATTCAGGTTCTATCTTTAGATTCTTGGCGAAAGTAACGAATCTGTCGTGAATAAGTATTATTACATCTTTTGCAGCTGTGTTTCATATTTGGATTTTTTTATAGAATATTTTTAGTTCGTTATATTTTTTCTTTCTCATTTTGGAATGCAGAAAGTGGAACAACGACGGCTTGTAAAAGAATTTTTATTGAATGTCGTATATCAATTGTTTCAGTGCTTCTCAGTTGCCATCAACTTTAAAGGAGAGTCGAGTGGATGGAGGAATTGTTGGAGGACCACGCCTCCGAGAAACCATTACTCTCACGTGTCAATACCCTTTTCTCTGCGTGAATTTCGGAATTTCCAACAAAACTGTAAAACAACCCACCCGGACCTCTTGGACCAGATATGATTTTGCGAACGTCAACGTTGTCGCCACGGGGCACACCAACGGTCGAATCCGTATTTGGAACTTGGAGACGGGAGCTTTTCTTACGGTTAGGCTAGATTTTGGATTTTGTCTTCAATTATCCGTGTCTTTTAAAATATAAATTACATTTTTTGAACTGCAACAGGAATTGATTAGCCATCGGGCTGCAATTCGAGACTTGGCGTTTGCTCCCGATGGATCCCTTCGCTTGATTTCGGCATCTTTGGACAAAACATTGAAGGTGATTCAACTTACCTATATATTCTTATTTCTTAATGAAATATACAAATATTACCAGATTATTATTATTTATTCTTATTATTAATGACCCATTGTTGTTTATGCGTGCAGGGGTGGGATCTTCATGAAGATGGAAACATGTTCAAAACATTCATTGCTCACAAGGAGGAAGCATTGTGGTGCACTTGGTCACCAAACTCAAAATTGTTGGCATCGACTGGAAACGAAAAGACTGTAAGCTTATCTCCAAGTTGAGTCTACATATACCAAGCCAAGCCCTTGTCTTATTTTAATGTGTTCTTATCAGGTATTCGTGTGGGGAATGGACAACTACAAGCTGATCCGGACTCTGGAGGGACATTCTCACAACGTTGTTAGTTGCTCCTTCAGTCCGGATGGGGCCGTGTTAGCGACAGCGTCATGGGACACTCAAGTCATTCTGTGGGATCCGTACTTGGGAGTCATCTTGTACACGTTGTACCATGTCCACCCTCCACCATCTCTTATTTATGCGTCCGGAGCAAATAGTGCTTGGGTTCGTGGAGTGTCGTATTCGAAAAATGGAATGAACGTGGTCACAGTGTCAGATGATCAGTAAGTTTTGCACCATTTTTGTATTAATGATATTTAATATATTTCTTAATTTAGAATTCCTCTTACTTAGCTTGATTCGATTTTGGAACCTCATGGGGGATGTGGACCCTGAAGGAATCGCTGGAGAAGATGAGGATCCTCTGTCATGTATTTATTCACCATCCGGCCGTTGTGTGGCTGTTGGGTAAGATTAATTTGGAATATTTCCATATTTAAGAAATTCAGAATTTTCTCAACTGAAAATCTTTCCCACTCTTGTATTTAGAACGGACAAATTCAAAGTAACATTCTACTCAGCTCGTAAGTTTGAAACAATAATTATTTCTTCATTCATCTGACTAGTTTTTTCATGATCTCATTGTTATACATACTTCTTATTTAATTGCAGCTGTAGAGATTCCAAGACTAACTCGTGAGTACAACAGATTTAATTTATTGCAATTTAAAAAAACAATTTGACAATTTATTTTATTCCAGACTTAGCTCGAATGGCCGTAAGGAAGGTCGTTTTGACGCAGCACGTGGATGAACTGGAGATTCCAAATTCCTTAAAGTCCTATCTTAAGTACAAGGTGTGGGTTTGAAAACGAAAAGACAAGGAAGCCAACTTAATAATAATAAGAATAGTTTCTGAGTCATAAGCGCATTTCAAGCCTCCGCATAGTTTCTAGACTTATCTGTATTCACGTTACAGACTTTGTGAATATCAATCACTGCAATAAGATTGATTTTTACAGATTTAGACATACGTTACCCTTGTACAATTCAATCAATGCTCTGCTTTTCTATCATTCTCAGCAATACAAGTGTCAAAAAGTAAATACTATACCTGCTGTACATAACATACGATAGGATAAAATGCAGTTTAATGTTTCTGCTTTTACAATAATCTTACAACAATATGCGACTTATTACTGTTCTAGTATTTTTCTCGAATTTGTCAAAACTCTTAGCAATTTTTGACCTGTAATACGCATACATACCAAGACCTGCCCCTATTTTATCAACTATCGGCAACTTTTTAATTACGGTGATTGTATAATATTTTAAGTAAGTAATGTACTTATGATGTAGGCAAATAATAATAAAATAAAGAAATAAGAGTCACAATGAACTTGTTGTTATCTATAAAAGATATTTCATGCGTTGTTTATTTTTTGAGTAAATCTGGATGCAGTGAAAGTAATTACTTTATGACAACAAAATGTTGGGCTAGGTTAGTATTTGACATCGAAAAATTGTCGATTTGATCGTAGCACATAGTTCCATAACCAAATATGCTCATACATAAGTACAAAAGTAGCACGCTATTTTATATCTTCGCAAATGTACGTCATATTGTAAATGCCATTTCTCTCATGAATGTAGACCAACATCTTTTTTATCTTCAAGTGTTTTGCCCCAAGGAGAAAGTTGACTGTGAAAAGTGAGGCAGCACTCGGGTGACTCATTACGCACACCACACCGTATCATCCCCTGCCAGGCTAAGGAGGAGAGTACGCCAACCTGATAATGACAGATATTGATGTCCTTTGGATATATGGTAGTACCCCCTCTGAAAGTAAAAAGTGTGAAGCGGTTTGATGCCATGGCCCAATTTACGCCCGTCACACCCCTTTGAAGGCGCGCCCGATGCCAAACTAGCTGCACTAAAAAATTCGCCAAAAATCCAATTTTCTTCGGATTTTCATAATAGTTACATATTTATGATCCCAAATAGTTGCTTTGTCATATCAAATATCAATCTGAACTATTTTGGAATTTTGAATTTTTTCAAGCCATGCCCTTTTCAGGATATATTCGAAAATATTGAAAATTTCTGAAAAGTTAATTTTGCAACTGAATATGATAAAGGGACTATCTGGGATCACAAATATATAATTATTATGAAAATCCGAACAAAATTGGATTTTTGGCGAATTTTTTAGTGCAGCTAGTTTGGCATCGGGCGCGCCTTCAAAGGGGTGTGACGGACGTAAATTTGGCCATGGCATCAAACCGCTTCACACTTTTTACTTTCAGAGGGGGTACTACCATATATCCAAAGGACATCAAGATCTGTCATTATCAGGTTGGCGTACTCTCCTCCTAAGTTTCAACTCGAATGATATCATTTCTGCAGACATTTATAAATGTCCTTTCGGAATACTTTCAGTGATCAATAAACGTGTGTGCACTGTGTGGATATGTGCATCTCTAAAAATAACGGTCAATGTATGTACAGAGAAAACAAAGGTATTAAACATTGAAGTTTATTATATTGTGGGCCTGCAACCTGCAATCCCTTCAGTCTTCACGAGTGAGTCGAAAGTGATTGGGGTTTACGAAAATTGAGGACTTTGGCGTCCAAGCACGTAAAAGCTATAAAACAAAGTACTCTTTATTCACTTCCACCATATAAAACTCAGATTTCACTCATTTTATTCCAGATCCCTTGTCGCTTCATCAAATGCTATCTCTGCGCCAGTGTCCATGGGATGACCACAGACTTTGTCGGAGGTAATTTTTGGGAATGCATAAGCTTATCTTACCCAGTAGGGTTGAGGTGGCTTGTTACGAGAGAATTTGGATGACTGCACTAGATAATAAACTATCACAGAAGAATAAAATATTCATACTTCCAGATGCATTTAGTGGAATAATGTTGACTACGCAAAAACTACTGATGATAACTTACATCATCATCGTGATTTTCAATCAGGAAGTTACGCGCAGAAAAATAAAATATGGATTACCTTTAGACTCTAAAGGTATACACTTCTAAAGTTTAGAGGTGTATACCTCATACAAGTAATACATATGTAATTTGGAGGAAATCCAAATTGTGTTTTTTGGTCAGTACAAAAATGTTCCTGTGTAGTTGACAAGATATGAAACCAACAGAAAATGATGGGATCATGGTGTTCTCTTCCTTTCTTCTCTTTAATCCACTATTTGAAAAAGTCGTCTTCCGCCCCCGCTACATATTTGTTCTCTCCATGAAACGTTTTAAACCACTCTCCCGGTCATGGAGATGTTTTTATGGACACAGAGTAAATAAGGTGTGAAACCTGTATTAGGATGTACGAACCAAAATGTGAAACTCTCGAATCCACCATGTTTTTAGTACGGCCAATTGCAATCGTATTTTTATTTGTACACAACAAAATCTTTGCAGTATTCCATTCTGAGGAGAAGTCGGTTTGGAAATCTCTCTAGACTTTTACTTTAGAAATCCTTGTGCACGTTCATGAGAACGTTTCCTTTTGATTGGACATGTCCCAGACTCCAAAGCTAATTTTTCTTGGAGGGCTTCCTTCCATCAGAACTCAAGCGTTGTCCCTTTACATTCTGATCGTCTTCAAATTTTATGTACTCTCTCCTTCAAGATTTCATGGTGGATGTGGATGCATTTGAGGTTATTAAACGAACTTTGTCTGGAAAAAGTCATATTGGGCATGTCACGACATTTTACAGAAGAATCGTTTCCGGTTTGTCTCTGAGCACACTAAATAAGGTGAGCTGGTGGTGAGGTGGACACTTAAATTGCTCACCTCAATATTTTCAGATTTATTTTTCCGAAGTTTCCAACATATATGTACGTAGAGTTAGCATTAAAATAAATTTTTTATGAAATCTTTGCATTTTTCGCTGCCCGTTCGGAAAAAAAATTAAAATCGGGATAGTATGCATCCCAAGGGGAAGGGAAGGCTTATTTTCCATCAACGGATAGAATTGAGTTGAAAAGTTTTGCTGGGTGCTTTTTAGCCACACCGGAAATATAAATGGTCACCTGTTACAAACAAATCGGTTCGCCTGACTCTTCCACTTTCTGAAGAGAAATCATATTTCATAAAGAAATTTCTGCTCTCTATATCCATCGAATGTAATGTATTATATCTCCTGAGAATTGTGCGCGAGTTTCACCTAGGTGTAATTTTTGACTGTCAAACAATGGAGAGAAAGATGCGCTGATGCATTTTTCAGGTAGTTGCCTAATTATGTTACCCATAATCTACATGCGAAGACCAGTAATACTACTGAATGATAAATGATACTTTCAAGATCACAATTGCATTATTCCAAGCGTATTATATTTCTCGATAGTATAATAATACCAATTTAGGCAGACTTTTACCTATTTGATACATCCAAGTGATTAAAGGTTCTTTAATGAAAATTCTATAACGTTGGGAACATCTACGGTCCGAATATAAAAACATTTACTCAACATGTGATCGAGCCAAATTGTCTTTTCAATTTGTTGATAATATAACAATGACATACCACATATTTTAAATTATATAAAACCACCAGGAATTAAAACGGGACAAATAGTGTTATCTAAAACTCGGCTATAAAACCAACTCTAAAAGAGTATACAATTTTAAAATCTAATCACAGGTAGGTGAAGCCTTCGCTATAGGATCGTCTTTGCCATAATTTAAGCAACTTCTTGTTGAGGTTCTCGATATATTTTCTCCGATTTGAACGCCTTATTTCTTCCCAGGGCATGTCATCCCAACACTAGTGAAAAATAAGAACGATTAAAAATTTGCCCAATTCTTAGGATGATTGAGCGAAATGAAGACATTGTTACCTTTGGTTGTATTTGGTCTGATGTTTTAGGCCTCTTCCACTTTGACTCCTTCAAATGCTGCGCCTTCAGGGCCCATACACGATCCATTCTGATCTGTGAAATAAATGAAAACTACTTGCAACGCATGAAGTGGCTTTCTCCGATTTCGATTAGACTAATTATAAGTTGTTCATACCTAAAAAGTAAGCAGAAACGGGTTTTACGTTTTTCCTGAGGCGCGCCTGGAAGAATTTTCAAATTAAATTCTAAGCCAAAATATCACGATAAGCACCTAAGGTAGGAGAGAGAACTCAACAAATTTACGGTCCACGGTTTTTTTCTCGTAGGATGAGACATGGAGAGTGAGTGAGTTGAGGCGCTTGGCGCTCGCCCGCCCGCCGTCACCATACCCTGGGTGACGTGACCAATCACTAACATAAAGTATTTGCTCGCTCTATCAATGGCTTATTTTTCATTCAACACGCATTGATAGATATTTTATACGGTTGACGGTGTCAGCTTTTGGAGAATTTCTTACTTTAAAATTCAAGCGATTATTCTTCCAATTTGATTGTTGACAGAGAGAGAGAGATTGAAACTTCAAAGCAGAAGTGTGTCCAGTCCAGGTGAACATCACGACGTTTTCATAGGCACGCTGCGTTCCTTCGTTTGTTGAGAAAAAGCTAATCTCTAAAGATAAGAAGTATTGATAAATACTAGCCATAATTAGGCAGTTAAATACCTATGTATGGGCGATGCATGTCTCCAATCTGCATATATGTATCTACATTCATTTGATTCATAAATGGTTCTGAAGCATTCATATGTTTTAGAAAAATTAAATACATGTTGCAGGAATTCCATTTCCAGCGTCATTCCCGGATTCAGCAAAATTCCCGTTCCTATTGCAATAGGAACGGGATGGAAAAGACGGAAGGGACGCGATGAGATGTTCTTACTCCACTTTCTCCAAACTCCAACAACCGGTTGTTGGTTGCTTGCCGTTTCATACGCTGCTCCGAATGTGTGGAAAAGATAAGTGCAACGGATCTCGTTCCGGGAGCACTAGTTTCCACCGAAACTTCAACCAAATCGGTTCCAATCTTGTTCTTGTTGCCTGCTCATTTCTTCCCTTCCTTTCTCTCGCTCTCTTTCGTGCGGAGAAAGTACGCTCTGCTCCAGTCTCAATTCGCACCTAGAAATTGCAAAAACCTTACTCATTTCTGAGCGTTATTTTTTGCATCTGCAAACCATGGAAAGCTTGGTCTCGTCAATAACAATAATAGAATCGGAGGGTGACGAAACAGACAATCGGAATATCGGAAGTGGAGTGAAAGTGAAAGTAGTTCAGAAAAAGAAGATTTAAAAACAGAACGAGAAAAACAATGTTTCCAGTCCCATAGAAGGATTTGAGTCCTCAAATTGCATTTTTGGTGGGGCAAGACATAACCCTAAATCTCCCAATATTCAGAATTTGTCCGGAGGTATTTGTTCAGTTGGTGGTAATTACCACATCCAGTTTACACACCAGCCGAAGAAAAGCAACAACCTTGCCATTATATGGCACGACGACTAGTGTGGAATTTGTACTCTGGGGTTTTCTCATCTGCACCCTTTGCTTTCACATTCCCAAGCAGCCCGCAGATTTCTCTTACAGTTTGGCCTGCATAATATACGGCCAACTCGAAGCATGGAATTATACGCCCAACAATTATTTCCGTTACACTGCTAAAAGGGAGGGCAACAACTGTTTCCACTATTATTTCGTGGTTGACTACACCAATTGGACTTTTCATTCTCGCACGGCCATTACAACATCAACATCAATCACTCGCAGTGTCATATTCTACTGGTGCCCCATCATCTATGTACTAGGGCACAAGTACCACTTTCTTCTGGGGAGAGCAAGTCCAGCCCCAAAGTTTCAACAGAACAATAACACCAAAAATAGAAAGGGTGCGAAGAGGCTGCAGTTTTATTGCGTTTTTTACATTTGTTTTCCTACAGACTTGCTTTTTCTTCTATTCTGGGAGGGAAACTTGTGAGTAGGAATCAATTGAATAGATAATAAAGGAAAGAAGTTGAGGTGGAGGGATGGGTGGAGGTCAGAGTCATAACCAACAGGGGCCACAGGGGCCAAGTTCCAGCCATGGTCCAAACAACGGAAGCGTCCTCGCCACCAAAAAGCAGCAGCATGAAAATGCCAACAAGTGCAGCCCGGCCAAGGTGAAGAGTTGCCTACGAACCTTTTTCGCCCATTTGTTCTCCCACATCGGACTTTGCATCCTCATCGTGGGCTACACTATAGCTGGTGCACTCATGTTTGAAAAACTAGAAAAAACCTATGAAATGAAACTTATTGGGAATAGGACTGCAAACTTTAAAAAACTGAGACTTCACTATGTGAGCGAGCTGTGGAACATTACTGGTAAGCAGTGGCATATTAATGTTTCTATTAATGTTTTGTTACATGACTTCAGTAGTTCAATCACAGGTTGACAAAGTATTGAGTTAATAAATAAACCGTGTCAAAGAAATTTCTTCATAATTCTTAAGAATCTGTAGAACTACATATGTATGATGATAAGTAGTGGGCTAAATTCACAGAAGTGGGGTTCATTCGTTAACAAAACCACGAGCACACCGCCATCCACCAAAAAGCTCGTTCTCTTCAAGAGTGTTCTGTGGTCAGAGTGAGTTCACTGTTTTTCAATTTTCATGAAACCCGAAACAGTTTATTTCCCTTCATACTAAAATACTAAAACTTTGCACTTTGTACGTAATGCATCACTACTTCTTACTTTTTAGAAGTGTGGAAAGAGAAATTGAGAAGAACCACGATATGCATATACATAAGTACACATGTACACATACGTTCGTACATAAATACACATCCACATCTTCGTGGATTCATTTTACCAATGATGGTGGGCTTTTCCAAAAGAAAGTTTGCAGAAACTGGTAAAAAAGTAATTTCCAAAGTGTAATGTTAAACTGGATCAAAAGAAACAAGTTGCACGAGTCAAAGAAAACTTGTCACGACGTTGTACCTAGCATATCAACACCGCACACATTCATCAAAAATTCACAATTTCCTACCTAAAACGAGGCTTTTAGAAGGAAGTGCAACATCCGATCTGTCCTCCAGAACCAAAAACATACATATTTATTGTGCGAATACTGTCACTCTAAGCCGAGTAGGAAGGATGCGATCCTGCTACTTTTTCCCCCTAGAAATTATGTTGTGGAGGCGGATGTATGATCATCATCACATTATAAAAAATCTGATAATTCTGTTACGACATTCAACTATTTCGTAACTATTTCGCAACTTTTTCAAGTATTTCGTAAGATAACACAGATTATTCTCCTTTTTTAACCATTGCTTAAAAATAAACCTCTCCCAAAAATCTGTGTGACCTAGTCAATTTAGTAATTGGCAAATGTGGATCATGTTTGAAACTCTATTCTTCCACGGCCATGGTCCGTTTGCTTGAGGAACCTGAGTCTGAATGTAGTCGGAATGAAGGTGTTCAATTTAGCAGCACAAACTCGAACTAACAACCAGGCCAAGTTTTTTTTAGCTTTCACACAAACTCATGCACCGAGTTCAGTGCTATTATGCACTTGCATTTTCTCCTCTCGCTCCATTATGTAAGTACCACCACATCATGCACCGTCTAGCCCGATTTGTTTGTATGTGCCCATTTCCTATTCTCCGGTCTTGGAGAGAAAGTAATGCAAAACTTTCGTCCATCAACTGCAGGACGTCGTTTGGGCGTGTTATGCACAATCCCAGCATTTATCTCACCATAAGATCAGACCCAGAAAGTATTTGCGTTGTGTAAACGGCACAAAATGCAAATTATGGGGTTTACATTTATGAGATTTTCTTCAAAAGTCGGCCACTTGTTGTTATCCCGACTTATGCGCTTTCTTATGTACATGTGTTCTTCAAATTGAACATGGGCCTTTCATGTTCAGTCAGAGAAAAACATTTCTCTTGCTGCATTACACAATTTAGAAATGACTGCGGAACAAATTCTGTGTGATGGGATTGTTTGTCTTGCCGTTGTTTCAGCGTAATAGTGGGCGACGTGGAGGGATTGTACACAGAGGTGGGAGTCGGAGGGAGGAGTGGAAATGGTGTTTGTGGCCAAAGGTAAACATTGTTGTCTTGTTTTCTGGCCTCTCTGCTGCTTCTGTAGGTTGTTGAGTTCGACAACAGAAAAGGAAAACAATTATTTGCTTTGGTGAGGGGTGGGATGGCTGCTCCTCGTTGTTTTCAATTTGTATTACCAAGCTCATCCTTCTAAACTTTTACTTCCTTTTTCCCAGGTCGACTGGGTCCAGATTAGTGAAATGGCACATTCTGACAGTTAACAGGGCACAGTTTTATAGTTGTAACTAATTGTAACTTCCTTGGAAGGATTAGATCAAGACTTAGAGTTGTGGCTTAAGGGTTTCGTATAGTTGTGTGGCTGAAGGTTGACACCACGAGTATGATACGGTAGTTGAATATCTAGTTATTAGCGGAATTTTAATACGCTAAAGCGTGCAATTTTACGAAACCAGGAGCCATTTAATGATTTGCATTAGCCGAAATTATACCCAGTCTGGTGGATCGAAGCAAGGCACACATTCGTCTTCTTTCTCTCGCAGTCACTGTCTTATTTGCCCCTTTTCCAAACTACTCTGTTCGAAAGCAGCAGTTGGTGTCACCCATTTGTCAAGAGGATTCCGTACACACACATACATCCTGATCTCGGGGCAGCAGACGGGAGTTTGTTGTTGGGTGGGATTCACTGGAAAATATATATGTTCGCATGAGCTCGTATATTATTGTATAATAAGTACAAATGTTCTGAGGTGTGAGGTCTCCAGGGCTCTTGTTTGTGATCTTCTTTCTCCCACTCTTCCGCTGCTACCTGCCTTCTTTCCCCTAAACCAACAACACAACAATAATAAAAGTGTGCTTACATTCTGACAAAAGAACACAATACTCTCTCGTTTTGTGTGTGTGAAATCGAGAAAAGTTTTCACAATATTGGCAGAAAATTTAGGATCAAAAGATTGAAAGATGGGAATGTTGTTGGTTCAAGTCATGGAATCCATTCAAAGAGAGTCAACCATCTGCAGCAGCATCCGCTCCCAGTGATAAAGTAGTATCAGGCCAAGAAGCGTTTTCAATTTTGCCCTTATCCAAATTAGTTTTGACTCCTAATTTATGTCTGCATTTTAGATCCGCAATTATTTCTGGAACACATTATGTACGTCATGATTGAATTAGCCAAGCTTAATGCACCGGCAACTTTTTGACTTTCGTCAAACTTGGAGCGAATTTTCTGGACATCTGCTTGCTCTGGGATTAACCAACTTTCAGCGAGCAATGTACATATATTTTAATATCGTGTATATCCCGTCTTTTTGTCTAGTGTGTGTACATGCACTCCCACTTTCATACATAAAGAAAGGCATAAACACACATCAATCTCAGGCACAAATCAATGCCGAGGAGATTCATTGCACTTTCATTATAGATGAGGATTTAATCGTACCCAAGTCAAGTGAAAGTGAAGTTGGTTTCAGAGCCGAGTTTCCGTCTCCTCTTTTACCTACATACATCCCCTCCTTCCTCCTTTCCTTTCGTGTAATAGCACTAACAAACTGCAAACTCTTCGGAGGCAGTAGTGCCCCACTGTTTTTAGTCCGTACTGATTGTCCCAGTTAGTCGGATAGGAGGGCAAAGGTTCTGTTACGTGCTGGTTGCTCGAGGCCGTTTTCACCCAAGCAACTTCCCTGTACACTGAGGGGGATGAGATAAAAGTGGTGGAGAACTCAACTCTGGACGACCACTTACTTGTTCAAGTTTCAGTTTGACTTATCTACTTTCGAATTTAGAATTTTTAACTCTTCTGCCTCTGGGTTATTGACTCGTTGTAGGAAAGGAATCCGTGTGTCAGGCTAGGCTGCTGCTGCCGAGCGAGACTTCGATTGTTGTTCCCTCCTCGCTCTCTCTTCCTGTCAGATATCTGTCTTTCTCCTCCACTCAAGAAGTCGGGGCTTAAAACTCTTAACACGCTCCACATGTCTTAGCACACAAGTAGCAAGTCAGTCAGTTTTAAACGTCTTTGTTCTTCTCCTAAATACATGTACCAGGCTTAATCCGTGTCGTAGAAACTGCAGCCACCACCACTTCCAGTGAAACAGGAGAGAAAAGTGTGTATCTAACTTTTGGTCAATTATGAGACATTTGTAGGTGTGTAACTGAACCCTTATTTTGTGAAGTATTGTTTTCAAAGAAGTGGAAGCTAAAGAGAGAGAGGGGAAAAGAGGAAGGGAGAGGTTTGCACTAATTAATTAACCGCAATACAAAAAATATGAGAAGATGTTATCGAAGGGAAAGTTGCCCCAGAAAAAGTGGAGAAAAACGGAGAAAGTGGTGGTGAAGACTACAAAGGAAACAATGAACTCTCTCAATTCCCCACCAAATTCCAATCCGCACCTTCTTCTTGCACCAAATTGAGTTGCTTTTGAGATACATCTGCTCCCTCTGATCCAAAATTTCTAAATTTTATTCCATGATCCAAGCACGATTCGGGATAGTTTGAACGAGATAGATAAATTATAATGTAGCATGTGAGGCTGAAAATAAGGACAAGTTGGTTAAATGGAGAGCGCGTCTTTAGGGAAATTGTTCCTCATGCGTACTTACACTACTCGTAAGTACGACCACCACTGCTGCTGGCTTTCACTGCCAATCTAACCACATTGATCGGACAGCAACAGACTGGCCGGTTTGCCCTCCTTCTTCGTCTGTATCAACATATTTATTTAGAACGCAATTGAACAAGTTTCAGATCTCGGTCCTTTTTTCCCACTTATTTATCATCATCACCGTCCTTAAAAGGACGCCTAGCTGTTGCCGCACAATGTAGTTAACACAATGTAGGCAATTGTGCATTATAAATAGTGATAAGACTGGAGAAAGTAGAGAATGGTTGTTAAAAGAGCTAAAAGAAATCCCTTTTCCTCACAAAATTTAACAATGAACAAACGAAACTCCATAAGTTTCTACTCGTCTTCTTTTACCTCGCTGGCGTTCCTTGCTTGCTTGTGGGATGAGTTGTGGTTTGAGGGCTTGTGGCTCATGCAGTATTTAAATAAATAAATGAAATGCACAATGGAATTATTTTTTGGCATAACTTCTTGTACTCATTTTGGTGGATGTAGTAATTCGCCCCGTCCTTGCACAACTTACTTACGTAAGAATTTTATCCTATGTTGGAATCATTTGAGTACACGGATATATTTTTTATATATTGGCGTTTCTTTGATATTCGCGTCTTCCCAAGACGATCTATTATCAGAACCTTAGGCTAAGCTGAATTTGCGACTGGATAGTTTTAACTACATACCTTTATTATA